ACCCAAGTGCTCGGTCGCCTCCGATGGAGGTGAGCGTCGCCCCCCTCTCGTTTGAGCAAAAGGTGGCAGCACTGTGACTTGGTGAGGGATTTGCCAAAAATTCTCAATGCAGGAACCCCTCCTGAAAAAAAGAGTCTTGAGACTCGGTGAGGTGTTTTTTCTTCCCCCCCCCCCCCCCCCCCAGATATCAAACCTCTCCAGAGCCTCCCAGGGATAATGACCGCAATACGCAACGACCCGACACCAGTGTTACCAGTGGTAGTACCTATTTTATTGACCGAGGAACGATGATGATGTTGATTGGCTTAAGACCAAGGTTACGATTTCGTAACGTTGTGATTCTGAGCCGGGTTCTCTGACCGTACACAGCTGCACACTGCCAGATAATGTAAATCTAATTAACGCTAACACTCGGGATCAGCGTCCCTCTATTTATAAAGAAGAAAACCAGCGAGGGTTCGTGTTGTGTTTCGCTGCCGAGAGGTTGCAAATAATTCATAAAGCGGCTGCATTACCCAGTCGCTGACTAAAGCGATATCCTGTTTCCTTTACGGAGGGAGTGCGACGCGGTCAGGTGAGACGGGGACATTCTGGAGGAACAGGCATATGAAGGCCATTTTGGGTATATTGAACAAAGGTTTTTTTTACATTTACAGGCAGGCAACGGCAAAATATATAAATTAGGAATTGATGACAAAATTGGGTATTTTGTAAACAGATATGACATTCGTCAAATAGATAACCGGACAATGTGTGTCCTTCATGTGTCTGTCTGTACAAATAAACACACTAATTATTGATTACACCACCCATCAGCCGCACGGCCTCCTGGGACTTCATAATTTCAGCAGCATCAGCTCTGGACAAGCACGCTCTAGGCCGGTTTTGACGTGCGTCGGTAACGGTATGACCTTAGATCAATCACAGGAAATGCTGGTGAAGCTAGCACCATCGCTTTCTAGGACCACTATCCACCAGCTGTTGCGGCAATTAACAACTTGACCTTCAAGGATCGCTCTTTTTAAATCCTTTATATTAAGTTCACTTGCTTGCTTGCTTGCGCGCTTACGACCATGCAAATCTTTCGGTCGTTTTTTAACCCACTTCCCGTGATCCAATCGAGCTGACATTTTGCACACAGACTCGTTGTGCGTGACAATTTATTTTCGTGAAATTTTTTTTCCAAAATTTTCCACTTTTTAGGAAAAAATTTTTGTCATATTTTATTTAAAATACCAATGGGAAAAAAATGAAACTCTTACTCAAGAAAAACAGAAATGAATAATAAAATAAAACCGATGCCACGCATATAAAGAATTTATAGTGAAAAACTTTGTTTTTACGGGTAAATTTTTTTTCAGTCTCGTTGCCACAGTCTGGCTTCAGGCCATCCGCCTTGTTGCTGACCTGTAGGTGCCACACTCCCAGTGCCGGGCTTGGGAACCAGCCCTCCTCCACCATGCACACCGTGTCCCAAGCCCATCGCAAACCTCCTCCCGATTACTTCGACAACACTTTGCTACTACATTCTGCTCCAAATTTCCGAAGTTTGCATAATTTCACCATTGAAATCAAAGGCCTGAAGTTTTTATCGTAGCAAAATATGGTTAAAGATACATTTAACAGAATCGACAAGGGTAAAAATGATAACTCTTAGGCCGCTAAGCCAATTGACATTTTGGACCAATCTTTTCCCACGGAATTTGTGTGAAGCAGACGAAGAACCCTGGAGCTGTTTTCATTTTCTCAGTCACAACAGCAGGGCCCAGGAAACAATTGAATGCCTGTGCGTCATTCGGCAAGATCTCTGAGTGAATACCGTGAAGCCATTCGGGCACATTGAGATGAGAGGAAATGCAGTGCATTGATAGTGGAGGGAAACTGAGGGACACAGGAAGAGAGTGATGTGTTACGGAGGGGAACAGAGCGGACGCAGAATAACACTGAGAAAATGGGTTCGATTTTGGAAATTGAAGGCGCATTGATAAAGAAAGTGAATGGTTTTGTGAACTTTCACAAGAGAGACATGATGCTTCAGCAGAGGAGAGTGATGAGACATTGAAGCAGAAGCGGGACAATGAAACGAGGATGACATTAGCACAGCAAAGAATGCATCGTGAGGATTGAGACGAGAAATGCAACACGGCGTCGCATTGACATGATAAATTAGGCATACACAGAGAGGGAGACATTCAGAGGAAGATTGCCCTGTAATAACGAGCGAGGCGATGCATTGGCGAGATAGGCGGGCGAGCGAGGTGAGCTTTTGTAAAGGAAGCAAAGAGAGAGAGAGACGGCATTGAGAATCAAATTGAGATAGAAGGTTGTGCACGTTGAGGGGAGAGAGATGAAAGGGAGGAGACACATGGGTGATTGTAGTCAGTGTTGGGTAAAACCCATTTCAAGTAATTTCTTGTTGTATCAACAAATTACAAAGTAAATGACAAGTAATTTGTTCCTGCAAGTGTCGGGTTCCGGGTTCATCTCCGCCCAAAAGGCGAAACTGAAGAAACAAAGCGGAGCAGTGAAGGGAGGGATGCAAGTTGTGATGGATGAGCAACAAGGGGATTCCAGAAACGTGGAAGACTTTTTTTTTTACCAAAGAGAGTTTGAGCAAATGGAGCTTTTGTAGGAATAAGGAGGCACTTCTGAGGCCATGGGCGGGGGGAAAGAGGAACGAAGTGCGCCTTCATCTTCTTGGTTCTTTCGGTAAAGTCACGTAGAAGGGAAGCAGCCGTCCTCGGGTGAAGAACAGGTCTGTCTCCCAGACAGACCAGTTCTTCACCTGAGGACGGCTGCTTGCGTTGTGGCCGAAACGTCGTGAGAATTATTTTATTCTTTTTTATTTTTATTATTGTATTACTTCCTTTCTACGTGACTTCACCGAAAGAACCAAGAAGATGAATCCCTGCAGTCACGAAAGCTTTAAATCGAAATTTAAGTGGGTCTTTACGTAAAATGGCAACTTTGTTTTAAAAGGACTTTGAATATGAATACAGCCCTGGGGGGTAGCTGGAGAGACCAGGTAATGCTCGACTAAAGATTGCATCACGAGGTAAATGGTCGGCTAAATATTGTTGTAACACGTAGGTTTCCGCGACCAATGTCAATAAAAAAAAGGTTTGTTGGGTTAAAAGATCGAGTAAATATAAATGTGTCGATAAAGCCGCCACCGCCGACACAGCTAATTCGTAGGGTTGGTCACGTAAACGAAACGTACCAAAGTTACTACTTCAGCACGTGGGTTTACTCTCCATATTTACGCAATCGAACCCACAACAAAGACACCTTTATTATAAAAATTGTATCACCAAATAAGGGGCCGTCCATAAATGACGTCACGCACCTAGGGGGGGGGGGTCAGACATTTGTGACGATGTGTGACGATGTGTGACGAGGGGGGGGGGGTTTAGAAATGTGACGTCACATCAAAATGTGCAATTTTAAATAAATATAGACAACACGTTCTACTTAATTAAATAGACTTTTTAATAAATGTTTTCTCCTACAACATCAGAGTGCAGCGCCACATTAAATACGCACTACAATGACAATAGTTTAAATCGATTTGAAGCATGTTATATTTTCAAAATGGAAATATGGTTTTGGGGTTGGGGGGGGGCAGATCTTTGTGACGTCATATTTGAGGGGGGGTCTGACTTTTTGTGACGCCGTGTAACGAGGGTGGGGGGTAAAAAATCGTCCAAAATCGCGTGACGTCATTTATGGACGACCCATTAACATAAAGAAGCTAAAACACTATCACCGTCTAGGTGATTACTAATTTCAACGCTTTTTTAAATCCTTTATATTAAGTTCACTTGCGCGCTTGCTTGCTTGCTTACGACCGTGCAAATCTTTCGGTCGTTTTTAACCCACTTCCCGTGATCCAATCGAGCTGATATTTTGCACACAGACTCGTTGTGCGTGACAATTTATTTTCGTGAAATTTTTTTCCATAACTTTACACTTTTTAGGAAAAAAAAATTATATTTAATTACCAATTGCTTAATGGTGGCAGGCAATCGTCTGACCCATAGGTGGCAGCCATCTCAAGCCAGAGGACGAGAGGACTCTAGCCGCCACGCATATAAAGGATTTATAGTGAAGAACTTTGTTTTTACCGGTTAATTTTTTACCCTTTTAAACCCCGGGGCTAGGGCACCGATGTCAAACCGGGGGTGGCTTTCAACTGTAGCGCTCATTGGGGAGGAGAGGCGAAGGCACTCCTGGTGTGTAGCCAGGCAAGTGGGAGGCTGACCACGAGGCATAAGGCCTCACAGCAGGGGATGGGGGATGGTTCACCCACAGCTCCACAGTTTCCCCACCCAGGCAGTCACTCCCGGATTCTCCCAAAAACGTTGCAGGTTCATTTCAGACAATCTTTGGCGAGGCTGGGAGATCCCAGTTCACTCCCAGCCTTTAATTGACACTTGCCAACCTCCTCCCGCCCACGATGGCTTCTGTCTGCCTCCGAAGGTTGCAGACGACCCATGGCCCCTTCCAGAAAGTCTCTTCAGCCACCAGAAGACAGCAAATGGCTTCTGCCATCAGGGGCACCACGGTGGCTAGGAGATGTTAACTACCTCGCCTGGTACACAGGAGGTCGTGGGTTTGATCCCATCCCTGACGCCTGTTGCTGTATATTTGGAGTTTGCATGTCTCTCTCCCCCCGTGGTCGCGTGGATTCTTCTCCGGGTCCTCACGTTTTTCCCTCCACTTTTAGAAACACGCATTTACAGTATTTGGCTGCTATAAATGTCCACGTGAAAAGCCACTTCGTTGACCTTTCATTTGCAGCCAACGTCGCATCTGAAAAAAGATAGATATATATTGCTCAGTGGGCCCTACCTGCTACAATAAACCTTGTTCATTTCAGTTTAGACTCGACCAAAGCAATCTTACTTCTGGATGCTACGGCTCGACGCCGATATTTGTTTACATTTTCTACGTCCTTCATTCATTCATTAAAACCACAAAATCTCTGCCGACTCTTCCAGGAGAGTCCCCACACCTCCGACGATCTTGGCCATGGGGCCGTAGGATGCGGGGACTGGACAGGCAGGACGCCGCACTGTATCCAGGTACCACTTGTCGCCACGTTTGTTGCACAATTGTCGACGTACTGCGAGACGTAATAAGTATAACCCGTAAAAACAAAGTTTTTCACTCTAAATCCTTTATATGCGTGGCGGCTAGAGTCCTCTCGTCCTCTGGCTTGAGATGGCTGCCACCTATGGCTCAGATGATTGTCTGCAGTATTAAACAATTGGTAATTAAATATTTAATTTGTTTTCCCTAAACAGTGTAAAATTTTGGAATTTTTTTTCACGAACATTAATTGTCTCGCACAACGAGTCTGTGTGCAAAATGTCAGCTCGATTGGATCACGGGAAGTGGGTTAAAAAAACGACCGAAAGGTTTGCACGGTCGTAAGCAAGCAAGCAAGCACGCAAGCAAGCGAACTTAATATAAAGGATTTAAAAAGGTACGAACTCATCTTCTTGGTTCTTTCGGTAAAGTCACGTAGAAGGAAAATAATAAAATAATAAAAATAAAACATAATAAAATAATTCTCACGACGTTTCGGCCACAACGCAAGCAGCCGTCTTCAGGTGGAGAACAGGTCTGTCGAGGAGACAGAGTCGAAAAAAAAGGTACGAACTGATCGTTTTAGCGTCGCCGTCAAGTTTCACATTTGGTGGAAATCATTCCCGACAAAGAAATTGCGAGTGGGTGATTGTCGGAGGAAAGTGTCGAGTCCATCAGCTTGGTTTGAGAGTGATGCCTAGCGGACAGAATGGCACAGTGGTGACCACTCATGGCTGACGTGAAGATGGACTTTGGTTCGATTCGCAGCTGGGGTGCCTGTCCTTCCCTACTGGCCCACATCACCCCCTCGTGTACTGTGTTGACCTTAATGTGCACTCTTAATGTGCACTTAACATGTACTCCTTATTAAGCAGCACTTGCCCCAACACTCCGTGAGGAAAAACAGGGAGCCTTCGTCTCTGAGTGTTCGCGTGTGTCTGTGTGCACATGTATAGGTGCTCGCTAACAGTACTTGTTCCGACGGGGGAAATCGTTGTCTTTGTGCACATGCATCTGTGCGTACACGTGTTCCACATGTGGGCGGTTAGTCCAGTGGTTGGCCCACTGCACTCTTGACCCAGTGCCATGAGTTCAATGCCTGCTCATGGCCAACATCGGCGACAAACATCTGAACCGTTCTTGGGGCTCCCGTAGGTTGACTCGGCACCACGGTGACGAGGAGATGTTAACTACCTCGCCTGCTACACAGGAGGTCGTGAGTTCGATCCCGACCCTGACGCCTGCTGCTGTATATTTGGAGTTTGCGGTGTCTCTCTCATCACGGTGGCTAGGAAATGTTAAGTACCTCGCCTGCTACAAAGGAGGTCGTGAGTTCGATCCTGACCCTGACGCCTGCTGCTGTATATTTGGAGTTTGCGGTGTCTCTCTCATCATCATCACGGTGGCTAGGAGATGTTAACTACTTCGCCTGCTACACAGGAGGTTGTGAGTTCGATCCCGACCCTGACGCCTGCTGCTGTATATTTGGAGTTTGCGGTGTGTCTCTCTCATCATCACGGTGGCTAGGAGATGTTAACTACCTCGCCTGCTACACAGGAGGTCGTGAGTTCGATCCCGACCCTGACGCCTGCTGCTGTATATTTGGAGTTTGCGGTGTCTCTCTCATCACGGTGGCTAGGAAATGTTAAGTACCTCGCCTGCTACAAAGGAGGTCGTGAGTTCGATCCTGACCCTGACGCCTGCTGCTGTATATTTGGAGTTTGCGGTGTCTCTCTCATCATCATCACGGTGGCTAGGAGATGTTAACTACTTCGCCTGCTACACAGGAGGTTGTGAGTTCGATCCCGACCCTGACGCCTGCTGCTGTATATTTGGAGTTTGCGGTGTGTCTCTCTCATCATCACGGTGGCTAGGAGATGTTAACTACCTCGCCTGCTACACAGGAGGTCGTGAGTTCGATACCGATCCTGACGCCTGCTGCTGTATATTTGGAGTTTGCGGTGTCTCTCTCTCATCATCATCACGGTGACTAGGAGATGTTAACTACCTCGCCTGCTACACAGGAGGTCGTGAGTTCGATCCCGACCCTGATGCCTGCTGCTGTATATTTGGAGTTTGCGTGTCTCTCTCTCATCATCATCACGGTGACTATGAGATGTTAACTACCTCGCCTGCTACACAGGAGGTCGTGAGTTCGATCCCGACCCTGACGCCTGCTGCTGTATATTTGGAGTTTGCGTGTCTCTCTCTCATCATCACGGTGGCTAGGAGATGTTAACTACTTCGCCTGCTACACAGGAGGTTGTGAGTTCGATCCCGACCCTGACGCCTGCTGCTGTATATTTGGAGTTTGCGGTGTGTCTCTCTCATCATCACGGTGGCTAGGAGATGTTAACTTCCTCGCCTGCTACACAGGAGGTCGTGAGTTCGATACCGATCCTGACGCCTGCTGCTGTATATTTGGAGTTTGCGGTGTCTCTCTCTCATCATCATCACGGTGACTAGGAGATGTTAACTACCTCGCCTGCTACACAGGAGGTCGTGAGTTCGATCCCGACCCTGATGCCTGCTGCTGTATATTTGGAGTTTGCGTGTCTCTCTCTCATCATCATCACGGTGACTATGAGATGTTAACTACCTCGCCTGCTACACAGGAGGTCGTGAGTTCGATCCCGACCCTGACGCCTGCTGCTGTATATTTGGAGTTTGCGTGTCTCTCTCTCATCATCACGGTGGCTAGGAGATGTTAACTACTTCGCCTGCTACACAGGAGGTTGTGAGTTCGATCCCGACCCTGACGCCTGCTGCTGTATATTCGGAGTTTGCGGTGTCTCTCTCATCATCACGGTGGCTAGGAGATGTTAACTACCTCGCCTGCTACACAGGAGGTCGTGAGTTCGATCCCGACCCTGATGCCTGCTGCTGTATATTTGGAGTTTGCGTGTCTCTCTCTCATCATCATCACGGTGACTATGAGATGTTAACTACCTCGCCTGCTACACAGGAGGTCGTGAGTTCGATCCCGACCCTGACGCCTGCTGCTGTATATTCGGAGTTTGCGGTGTCTCTCTCCGCGTGGATTTTATTCCGGGTCCTCCAGTTTCCCCCTCCACATTTAGAATCACGCCTTTAGAGTTTTTGGTTGCTCTACATTTCTCGGTGATACGCCACTTAGTTGAGCAATCACTTGTCGCCAGGTCACTTCTGACCAAGAGCTATGTAGCTCAGTGGGCCTTACCTGGTCAAATAGTTAAAATTCGTTTTAAATAAGTGCGGTGTGTAAATGCCAACACTGGGGAGACGAAGGCGGCCGGGCGTGGTGCCGACTACCCCACCCCCTTCAGTTCTGCCATGCCAGCCTTCATAGATGCTCGCGAACAGCACTTGTCCCCACAGCCTGTGTGTGCCACACGGGGGATCTTTATCTTAGTGTCCAAATATGTGTTTCTCCGTATCATCTCAAGTTTCCCACCGAACGAACGTGCAGCTGCTTGCGCCGCCGCGTCGTCGTGCACAAATGTGGCGGCCGGGAGTGTGAACGCTCACGAATAGTCCCTAACCGTTGGAAGTCTGTGATCCCTTGACTGCAGTCTAAACGTCTTGTCAATTAAAATATAGGCTGGTGTGTGAGCCATCTAGTTTTCACGAGCGCCTGAGCGTTGTATGGTTTTTTTTTATGGCAAAGGGATGAGATCCGTGCTGTGCAGGCCACGTGAGCGGGGAGCTATGGAAGGGGTTTGTGGGAGGAATTCCTGCAGTTAAGAGACGGGGTGATCGTTGCTGTCCAGTTTGCTCTCTGCGTGGCTCTTACGCTTAATGTGGAGGGCACGTGAACCCGGCTCCTGCAGCCTCGGCCGGTATACGAGGGGGTAATCGATATTGTCTGCAGCCTGGTCGAAGAAGTGGTGCTACAGCGGAGAGGGCAAGTGTACAGTTGTAAGGATATGGCTCTTGAGATGGCAAATTTAATATGATCGATAGATTCTATATCAGCAATATTTGCAGAGCGATGTAATCGTCGAGTTTGCTTGGAGTTAATGGGTGAATCTAAAATAAAACCTCCTGGGAAATCTGGACAAGCCTCTTACTCATCAGGCCTGGCTCCCAGTGCCTTCCACATGTCTCCTCGTTAAAGACTCAACTTTCACGGAAAGATATCTTCCAGTGACAATGAAGCAATGTGCGCTATGAGCGAGTGGGTTTTTTTACGAGAGAGACCGAGAATTCGTCTGGACGGAGATTAAAGCCTTGGGACATCAATGGACTGAAGTGGATTCTAAAGCGAGGGGACCGTGCGTCACGTGTATGAGAACAGCTCCCCGGAATCTACGAGTGGAGGTTTTGAAGAGCCTCCTCGTTCTCAGGCATTGGGGATATTGTGGACGATGTGAATGCGCCCGCATCTTTCTGTCACCGGCATTGAACACCGCCTCCTTCACGGTGTCCGGGGAAGTGTGGACTCGGTATCGGTCCATAATAGCAGCTCCGTAAAGCAGTCATTAAATTGACCCCATTTAACCTGGGCGTCAGGGGAAGGGAGGAGTGCAACCCCAGCTGGAAGCGATGATCATATTCTCACTCTTGGGTTTTTTTTGGTAAAGTCACGTAGGTAAAAAATAAAAAATAAAAATTTACCCACGTGACTTTACCGAAAAAAACCTAAGAGTATGAATCCTTGCAGTCACGAAAGCTTCAAATCTAGGATCATATTCTCACTCATAAAATGAACATCTCGCTGAAGGTTGGCTGTTGCGGGTTTGAATGCGTTCCTACGTGGATGTCTGTATCCACGAGGACAGCAATGGATTTCACCGATGACAAGCTCCAGATCCGTCCCACGGTAGAACCTGGCGTCAAGGACATTGCCTCGCATTTGCCGCCCCACCACTACGTAGACCAGCAAGATGTTCGGACTTGGATCTGGCAAGGTGTGTAGATTGAACGATGTTGATGACAAGCCCATGCGTGGACCGTGCAAAACTGAAGCCACCCCCTCACCACTTATTGTTGAGCCCATCCTGGCCCATGCCTTCCCATCCTTCGTAAGTGCTCGTGTCGTGACTCACTCAGACATTAAAGTCGCATAATTTAAATGACTCTCTCTCCCTCTCTCTCTCTCGAGGGGCCACTTTAGTCAATGCCTGGGAGAGGTCATAGAAGGCATCTGGCTCATCAGCCTTTGCCGGCGTCCCTGCACCGATGTAAGTGACAACCTATTAAAATTCATACAAACGTACGCTTACGCGCATGCAATTACACACGTACGTACACGCGCAAAGACAACGATCTCCCGTGTAGCCTTAGCAGACTGTTGGGGCAAGTGCTGTAAAGGCCGGCACGGGACACGAGGGGTGGGTGACCAGCACCGTGCCGGGTTCGCAGCGGAACGCTAACCGCTGCACTACCGCTCCCCATTGCGTACAAAAGACAAAGATCCCCCGTATAGCCTTAACAGACTGTAGGGGCAAGTGCTGTTAGCGAGCATCTATAAAGGCCGGTACGGTACACGAGGGGGTGGGTGGCCAACATCACGCCCGGCCGCCTTTATCTCCCTAGCGGCGATGTTGACACACCGCACCAGGTACTCATTTTAGGCCGAACCGACCTAGGCGAGGCCCAGGACCTGTTCAGATAATCATCACTGGGTGTTGGCCGTGAGCGGGAATCGAACCCGAGTCGCCCGGTTCGTAGCGCAGCGCGCTAACCGCTACACACGTGCACACACACCCACACGTGCACACACACCCACACGTACACACACGCAAGCACGTGCACACACACGCGTGCATACACACACGTGTGCACACACACGCGCACACACACGTGTGCACACACATACACGCGCGCGCACACTCACGCGCGCACACACACACGCACACACACACACGCGCAGCACGTGCACACACACGCCTGCACACACACACACGTACACACACACACGTGCACACACACACGCACACACACACGCGTGCACACACACACGCACGCACCACGACACAACGCTGCACACACGTGCACACACACCACGTACACACACACACGTGCACACAACACGCGCAGCACGTGCACACACACGCGTGCACACACACACACGTGCACACACACACGTGCACACACACACACACGTGCACACACACACGCACACACACACGCGTGCACACACACACACACACGCGCATGCGGGCAGCTTGTCCTGTGAGAGTGCCGAGTCAGCGCTCCGTTGCGATGGCACTCTGGAGGTGTTTGTGGTGTTGGTGGTGGGGGGGAGAGCCTCCGCGAGGCGATGGCTGCGGGCCCCACTCCGCTAAGAGCCCTCCACGCGCTCTTCTAGCGAGTCGGCGAGGGTCGTTCGGGGTGCCGCCCGAGGTCTCCTCGTGTCCATCAATGGGCTTCACCTGCCACGTGGAAGAGAGACGTTTTCTTGAGCCCGAGGAACACTTTGGCAACGTTGCGTGGGATAAAGCAGCGCGTCTGCATCCGCAGGCACAACGCAACACGCGGGTGTCATCGGTCTGCAACAAAAAAAATTTAACCCGTAAAAACAAAGTATTTCACTATAAATCATTTATATGCGTGGCGGCTAGAGTCCTCTCGTCCTCTGGCTTGAGATGGCTGCCATCTATGGGTCAGATGATTGCATGGCAGCATTAAGCAATTGGTAATTAAATATAATATTTTTGTCCTAAAAATTGTAACATTTTTGGAAAAAAATTTCACGAACATTAATTGTCACGCACAACGAGTCTGTGTGGAAAATGTCAGCTCGATTGGATCACGGGAAGTGGGTTAAAAAACGACTGAAAGATTTGCACGGTCCTAAGCAAGCAAGCAAGTGAACTTAATATAAAGGATTTAATAAGTATAACCCGTAAAAACAAAGTTTTTCACTATAAATCCTTTATATGCGTGGCAGTCTGTGTGCAAAATGTCAGCTCGATTGGATCACGGGAAGTGGGTTAAAAAACGACCGAAAGATTTGCACGGTCGTAAGCAAGCAAGCACGCAAGCACGCAAGCACGCAAGCAAGCAAGCGAACTTAATATAAAGGATTTAAAAACCGAGCAAATGCATGAACACCCCTACGACGTAGGGACACGGACCGCACAATAAACCCGGTGACCTGAGTTCGATTCCAGGCCACGGCTGGCCAACGGTGGAGAATATCTCAACCGGCCCTGTGCCTCCCTAGATCAACTCGGCCTTAAACAGAGTGCCTGGTGCGGTGTGAACATCGGCACTGGAGAGACAAAGGCGGCCGGGCGCGGTGCTAGCCACTGCCATTACCTTCGTGTGCCGTGCTGGCCTTCACAGGCGCTCGCTTGCAATGCTTGCCCAAAGAGTCTGTTAAAGCTATGGGTGGGGGGGGCATCTTTGTTGCGTGTGAATGCCAGGAGCCCCCAGCTGCCGACGGCTTTGATGAGCAGGCGTACCTGGACGGGGCGCGCTGGCGGGAGGGTGACGACCCCTACCGCAGGTTCGCCTTCAACCAGCGAGCCAGCGACGGCCTGTCCAGCAGCCGCGCGCTGCGAGACGCACGCCACTATCGGTAGGACGCCCACCAGCAACTGCAGCCAAAGCCATACAGCACGTGTACAGCACGCGTACAACACGCATACAGCACGCATACAGCATGCGTACAACACGCATACAACACCGATACGGCACGCATACAGCACGCGTACAGCACGCATACAACACGCATACAGCACGCATTCAGCACGCATACAGCACGCATACAGCACGCATATAGCACGCATACAGCACGCATGCAGCATGCATACAACACGCATACGGCACGCATACGGCACGCATACAGCACGCGTACAGCACGCGTACAGCACGCATACAACACGCATACAACACGCATACAACAACCGCAACCATATAGTGCTGTTAGCCAGACCCATACATCTATACCCATATAACACCAATACCCATACAACACCCAAACCCATACAACACCCAAACCCATAGAACACCCATAACCATATAACACCCAAAACCATACAACACTTAAACCCATACAACATCCATACAACAACAGCAACCTTAGAACATGATTATCCACATGTCTATACCCATACAACACCAATACCCATATAATCGCCACAACGATACAACATCAACACCCATACAACACCCAAACCAATACGACAACTAATTTAGGCCATTTCCAGGAGCAACAATTGCTACAGAATAATGTGCAACACTGTGCTGCACCTATAGCCATAGAATGGCTCGCAGCACATACTGACTACAGGTAGCACAACCAACAACAATCCACCACCACGACTCCTGCCAACCCCATACAGCACCAATGCAACAATAACTGTACAACCATAGAACACACACACACACATGTCACTTGCATGTAATCTCTGCTTGTGGGTTTTTGAGCATGTTTATGCATGCGGTGGAGTGCTGGCACAATGATTAGCACAAACCCCAGTGAACCGAGTTCCTTTCCCAGCTACGGCTAATATCGGCAGCGATTATCCGAACCGGTGCTGGGCCTCCCCTAGGTCGACTCATCCTTACACAGCATGGTGCCAGGCGCGGTTTGTAAACGTCAACACTGGGGAGACAAAGGCGGCAGGGTGTGATGCTGGCCACCCACCCGCCTCCCATGCGCGCCACACTGGCCTTCAGCGGTCGTTTGCCGTAACAGCACTTGCCCCACCAATCTGTGCAGCCTACGTGGGGGATCTTTGTCTTTGTACGTGTAGATGCTCATCCGTCCACTATGACCAGGACCTCCCCGCCACCAGCATCATCATCACGTTCCACAACGAAGCGCGCTCAGCTCTGCTCAGGACCCTGCGCAGGTAAAGTAAAAAAAAACACCCTAGTTTCCCAAGTTGCTCCACAGCCAATTTGTTAATCTACGATATAAACCAACACATATTTTTCCTTTACCAGGTAAGGCCCACTGAGCTGTATATCTCTGGCTATCGCAAATGATAGCGCACTGAGAGTGGCTTGTCATCGTGTGGACATTTATAGCAGCCCATTAAATATAAACGCATGTTGATTCTACATGTGGGGGGGAAACCGGAGGGCCTGGATACAAATTCACGCGACCACGGGGAGAACATGCAAACTCCAAATATACATGTGCCGGGATCGAACCCACGACCTCCCATATAGCGGGCGAGGTAGTTAACATCTCACCACCATGGCAACATGTTAATTCATTACAGAGAGCATATTACTTTAGTCAGCTCCAATCTCTAATTTCAGGTCATCGTTAGATTATAGTTGCTTAGACAATTACTTAGACAGCAGCAGCAGAGAATACGCCAGTGGGGTTACTTTTTAAATCCTTTATATTAAGTTCACTTGCTTGCTTGCTTGCGCGCTTACGACCGTGCAAATATTTCGGTCGTTTTTTAACCCACTTCCCGTGATCCAACCGAGCTGACATTTTGGACACAGACTCGTTGTGCGTGACAATTTATTTTCTTGAAAATTTTTTTCCAAAATTTTACACTTTTTAGGAAAAAATAAATTATATTTAATTACCAATTGCTTAATGCTGCCAGGCAATCATCTGACCCATAGGTGGCAGCCATCTCAAGCCAGAGGACGAGAGGACTCTAGCCGCCACGCATATAAAGGATTTATAGTGAAAAACTTTGTTTTTACGGGTTAATTTTTTAGGCTAATGGCTTTCTGAACGCGAGTACTTTTTTTTCTTTCGAAGAGAATTTAAAGCAACGGGAACGATGGAGTCAGCAGCCTTGCAACGAGAACAGTCCAGACGGTGCAGGGCAGCCCGGGAGAGACGGACCCACTCCCCCACCGAGTGAACGCTGACGCGTCGTGTCAACCAAGGCCTCGGTTACTTTTCACGGGGGGGTGGGGGGCAGAGAGATGAAAGGGGGGCGGGTAGGCTGGGGCGAGCCCGTGGAGAACTTTAAAGACGGCAGGTGATGCTGGAGTGGTTTTGAGATGCTGAGCGCTTAGGCAATTTCCCCTTTGCAGCTCACTGCCTCCCCACGATTTCCTGAATTGTCAAGATTTGCGGGCATGATTTGATTTACGTGAATGTATGTTGAACTTCTTTTGCGCTGTACGTGGCCAACCGTGCTAAACGGAGGTGCGCAATATGTACGATTATGTTTACTGTCTCATGTGCATTGTTTATCCTTGTTAATGTGTGCCATCGGTCTAAAGGCACAAGAGCGATGAGAGTTGCGCGTGAGGATCCTTGATCACTTACAACTCTGATTTCATGGTGGCATCCAGGGAGGATGTATAATTTGCATACGATAGATTATTTTTATTTTTTTAATGTAAACAATCGATGCACAATTCGTCGCACGCAAGCGTGAGCACAACGGCCGGGGGTTCAGTGGAGATGGAGCGTTGCAAGCCCTATCGATAGTGCTTTTTCTGGAAGATTTTTACTGTTTTTTCCAGGATTTTTCTATTTGCGCATAGTCACTTTAAGAAGTTTCTTGTTCATGTTTTTTTTTGTTGCGGTTGCACCCGATTCAAGAGCCGATTGGCTCATAGGGCCATACCTAATAAATGAAACTGAAGCTGAATGTGTTAAGCCAGTAGGGTCTGGGCATCGGAGCTCTGAATCAATATTTGCCAATCAAATATCGATTCGATATTAAATATTGATTCGATATTTTTTGATTGGCTACCAATCAAATATCGAATTGATTACAAGGTCCTGCTTTTGACCTACAAGGCTGTCAATGGGTTAGCCCCCACATTACTTCCAGGACCTGATACACTTCTATACACCACCAGCGAGGAGCTTGACATCTTCTCATCTCCTTCGTAGTACTCCGAGGGGGTCAAGGCTCCGCTCCCGGGGTGATCAGGCTTTTGCCAGTGCAGCTCCGCGTCCATGGAACGCGTTGCCGTCTGATAATTAGAAGGCAAACATAATATTTAGTGCTTTTTTCTTCTTGGTTCTTTCGGTAAAGTCACGTAGAAGGGAAGTAATAAAATAATAAACATAAAACATACTATTTTATTTTTATTTTATTGTATTTTGTATTTTAATTATTTTATTATTTCCCTTCTACGTGATTTTACCGAAAGAACCAAGAAGATGAATCCCTGCAGTCACGAAAGCTTTAAATCGAAATTTAGTGCTTTTTAAATATGCCCTGAAAACTCACCTCTTGAAAATGGCCTTTTTCCCGATGCAGTTCTGGCCATTTATGCTGCTGGCTCCGTCTTATGACCCTGATTTCCATCCACGGCGTATTGGATCCACGGGTGAAATGCACCTTACAAATGTAAAGTATTGTGATTATCGCAGCCTAAGAACCATTGTCCCCGAGTGACGTCGCGCCTCTGATTTTTTTGCCCCAACCGTGTCGCCAGCGTTCTGGGACGCACGCCGCACGATCTCATCCAGGAGATCATCCTCGTGGACGACTTCAGTGACGATCGTGAGTCACTCCTCTCCACCCTCTCCCCCCCCCCACACACGCGCACATGTGTGTAAGCGTGTGTGTGTGTGGGTGCGGAGCGGTAGTGTAGCGGTTAGCGCGCTGCACTACGAACCCGGTGACCCAAGTTCGATTCCCGCTAATGGCCAAAATCAGTGACGATTATATGAACCGGTCCTGGGCCTGCCCTAGGTCGACTCAGCCTCAAATGAGTACCTGGTGCGTTGTGTAAACATCGCCACTAGCGAGACAAAGGCGGCCAGGTGTGGTGTTGTGTTGGCCACCCACCCCTCATGTGCTGTTCCGGCCTTCATAGGTGCTCATGAACAGCACTTGCCCCAACAGACTGTTCAGGCTATACAGGGGGGTCTTTGTCTTTTGTGCAATACGCAAGCAGCAGCACCACCACATTGTTTCACTCTCACTCCCTCACTATTCACCGCACCTCCGATTAGCACGGTTGGTTACGTATGGTGCAAAAGAAGTTCAACATACAAACATTCAATCATGCGGGGCCCCCGTCTCTCACCAACCACCACTGCCATCCGCCAGCTACTGGGCCGCACGTCTCCCTACTCCACACACGTGCCGGGGCAGTGCTCGTCTCTGCTGGTGGCCCTGTGCCAAGTGTGGATATTCCACATTCCAATGCCAAGGCTAGTCTCCATATAGGATGACGGCGGAGGGCCTGCGACAAAGTAGGCACCATTTTATTGTCGGCTCCGGCGAGAGTCGATAATAGACGCTGCTAAACTCTGGAATGCGTTACCCGCCCCTCTCACGCCATTTCATTACTATATGCAGCTTTATTAAATTCAATGTCAACCACCTACTACTCATAATAATAGGGGGTTTCCGCTTTTTTCTGGCAACAAAACTGAAACCTTTTTACAAGGAATCATGTGTGCATTAACCACAATACTTGTGGTCAAAATGCAAACAAAAAACACACTGATAATATATGCATTGTCCTTGAAACTGATTGGTCCACACCAGAGACGGCTTTCTTGTCTCAATTGGAGGTCTAATGATATAGATGCTCACCCCGAGCCCTCATTACTTTGATAGTGCAGCATTGTCTTTGAGCTGTACGCCTTTTGGCGTCCTCTGGTCTAGCACCAATTGAGACAAGGCTGTCTCTGGTGTGGACCAATCAGTTTCAAGGACAATGCATATATTATCAGAGTGTGTTTTTTGTTTGCATTTTGACCACAAGTATTGTGGTTAATGCCCACATGATTCCTTGTAAAAAGGTTTAAGTTTTGTTGCCAGAAAAAAGGGGAAAAACCCTATTATTATATTTTGGTACTGGCAAAGGAGGTCTAATGATGTACACCTACTACTCGTCAACCGCTTATCACATCCGAGACGTCGCATTTTGCGTAAACGAGCTCAAACTCGCCCAATGTCGCAGCGTCGACAGACTTACGAGAACATCGCTAAATCGTCTCTCGTGGAAAAAGCCACCACGTGTGACGTAAGTGTAGTGGATTCAACTGAGTCGCAGACTTACTCTTTGGAGGCAACACATATTTATTAACACCAACACATTAACACAAAGGGGCTACTGCCCCTTTACCAGATAACCTGTGGTGGTGGACCACCAGGCTAATCACACTGGTTACTGGGAGTAGCTACAACGGACAGGACCCTAGCTGGGGTCCTTGTCCACGTGTTGGTGACTTCTTCTTGGACGTAGATCGTAGATCTTCAGACGACAACAGCAACGCAGAGCCCCGGTCCCTGTGGGGACCCCGTTTAAATGCCCCCGGGTCGTGGCTGGCTCCGCTCTTGGCCACGACCACCTGCGAGAAACCTCGTGTCGTTTCTCGACCCTTCCCGTAGGATCTCACCCTGACACGTGACCACCCCTAGCCCCCACCTGGAGCCCCTGTGTAGATCTTACTGGTCACGTGCCTTCCAGGGTCAACCAGAGTGCCATGACCTGGGGTAACCTCATCCCATGGCTGACACTCTCACACCCCATCCTTTAGGGGTCGGCACTGCACGCCACGCGTGGTGCCACTGAGCGCTATCCCAGCGCTCACCGAGCCCCCTCTAGGGCTGGTACTACACCCACCTACGGGGTGTCCGCGATGACCATGCATCGTACGCCGTGCCCCGCTAGAGCCGGCATTACTCGGTGACAATCACGATGTTGCTACATAAGTAATGGATAGCAATGTAAAGCCATGTAATGTCCCACCATTTACTATCACCATCTTCTGATAACCACAACCACCCACTCGATACCACCACCACGACGATCACCCTCCACTCTCGACTGCTTGCTATTGCCACGACGTTTACGTCTACCTATTCTACGTTCTACCTATTTGAAGGATGTGTGCCGTGTTTGTCTCTTTTCCTACGTGCCGACCGGAAGCCGCGGATTGTGAGCTGCTGAGTTCGCTGCCCAAGGTGGTGTGTCTACGGAACTCACAGAGGGAGGGTACGTGTACACGCGTGTACACGCGTGTGCGCGCGTGTGTGCGCGCGTGAATGTGCATGTGTGTGGAGCGATGGCCCGTATGTATGTTGAACTTCTTGTGCACCGTACTTAGCCACCCGTGCTAATCGGAGGCCCAGCAGTTATCACACTGCCCTACGATCCCGACCGCCCAAGTTCGATTTCCGCTCACGGCCAACAAGAGTGATGAATATCTGAACCAGTTCCCAGCCTCCACTAGGTCGACTCAACCTTAAATTAATACCTGGAGCACAGATGAGCGCAGATGTAAACCTCAGCGCTGGGGAGACAACGGCTGTGGTGCAGGCCACACTCACCCCCACGGCCTTCCTCGGTTGTTCGCTCACGGCACTTTGCCCCAACAGCCGGTGAAGGCTCCATGAAGGAATCTTTGTATTTGTGTGTGCGTGTTCGCGTACGGGGGAGCGGTAGTGTAGCGGTTAGCGCGCTATGCTATGAACCCGGCGACCCGAGTTCGATTCCCATTCACAGCCAACACCGGTGACGATTATCTGAATCGGTCCTGGGCTTCCCCTCAAATGAGTACCTGGTGTGGTGTGTAAAGATCTTTACCAGGGAGACAAAGGCGGCCGGACATGGTGCTGGCCACCCACCTCCTCGTGCGCTGTGCCGGCCTTCATAGGTGCTCGCTAACAGCACTTGCCCCAACAGTCTGTTCAAGCTGTTACAGGGGATCTTTGTCTTTGTGCTTACAGGGTTGATCCGGTCTCGTGTGCGAGGTGCGGACGCTGCCCACGCGCCCGTGCTCACGTTTCTCGACAGCCACTGCGAGGCCAACACGGCCTGGCTGCAGCCTCTCCTGCAGCGCCTCCACAGAGTAGGCATTCATCACACGCACATATTTAGCACTTTACCTAGCCAACCGTGCTCATCGGAGGCGCGGTTCAAGTGCAAAAAACATTCCCCGACATCGTGTCCCCTGTATAGAAACCTAGACTGTTGAGCCAAACGCTGTTAGCTGCTAGCGATTGCCAAAGGAGGCCCATGTGGTATGCACACACTCACACTTCTCAGTTAGCTAACTTTATGTTTATGGAGCTCCTTAGTTTAAAAAGCGGTCACAACAAGTGATTTAGATGGCAGGGGGCAAGGGCCGAGGCATGAGTGACCGTTAACAGAGGGCACGCAGGGGGTCACAAAAGGGCTACAGGGGACACGACAGGAAGGGGTGGAGGGGCGAGGGGAGGGAAGAGGAAGGGAATGGGCAATGGAGAAGATGTGATCTCCGTGCCATTAGGACTACACGTTGCAATTATCGTCCCATACTGACAACACTTGACAGCACCCGTCTGAAAAAGTTACGAGGATTTTACTGGGTACACAAGTGTAATAAAATAGAAGTAATACACGCATTACAACACACACAATGTCAAATATTTCTCCTCTAGCCTTCTCTCACAGACTGTTGGGGCAAGTGCTGATAGCGAGCACCTATGAAGGCCAACACGGCGCACTACGACAGGGTGGGTGGCCAGCACCATGCCTGTCCACCTTTGTCTCCCCAGTGCCGATGTTTACACATCGCATTAGGTACTCATTTACGGCTTAGTTGATCTAGGGGAGGCCTAGGACCAGTTTAAATATTCGCCACTGTTAGTGATCTTGAGCTGGAATTGACCTCGATTCACTGGGTTAGTAGCGCAGTGCACTCACCACAATGCTACTCACCACACATTTCTAGCCACATTATTGCATAAACACATTCCTGCGGAGGGAGCTGGTAGGAACGTTGGGTTGCTCGGTCAACGGCCTGCAGGGTCAACGGCGGCGTGGTGTATTCCGCAAATATGGCCGACTGTGAGGGTGGGCACAAGCCGGCGTGAGTAGGTTAAACGTTGAGTTTTATAAGGGCACCACGGGGTGACCAGCCCCTCCCCACCCAGCCCCACCCTCCCCACCCAGCCCCTCCCTCCCCACCCAGCTCCTCCCCACCCTCCCCACCCAGCCCCTCCCCACCCTCCCCGCTCCACCCAGCCCCACCCCTCCCATTTTTGGATGCACGACGGACGGACACAATAATCCCCTGTGGGTTGGTGTAACCAGGAGGTTCCTACCAGTATAAAACATTTATGTACGTACATTGAACTTCTTTCGCAAGGTACGCAGCCTACTGTGCTAATCGGCGGTGCGGGAGAAGGACAACAAACGTAACACAAAAGACAGTTCCAAAGAAATGAGTTTTCAATCCAGACGATTTTAAAGTGCCTAGCTGCAGTAGCTTCCTCATATCGAAGGGAAGAGCATTCCAGACAGCCGCAGGAGTGCATTTGAAAGCGCCGCGATGCACTGATCATCTTGATAATGACATACGTTCAAAACATGTGCAAAGTCAAACAGACATCTACACAAGTGTGTGACACGTGTGGAACGTATGGTGTTCTGACACGGCCATTATGACCCCCCCCCCTCTTGTTCCCAGCAACCCACCAGGGTGGTGAGCCCCATCATCGACGTCATCAGCATGGACACCTTCAACTACGTCCCAGCCTCGTCTGACCTGCGCGGCGGTGAGGGGGCTCTGTTTGTTCATATTGGTGGTGGTGGGGGAGCTCTGTTTGATCGTATTGGTGGTGGTGAGGGGGCTCTGTTTGATGGTATTGGTGGTGGTGAGGGGGCTCTGTTTGATGGTATTGGTGGCGGTGAGGGGGCTCTGTTTGATCGTATTGGTGGTGGTGGGGGGGCTCTGTTTGATGGTATTGGTGGCGGTGAGGGGGCTCTGTTTGATCGTATTGGTGGTGGTGGGGGGGGGCTCTGTTTGATCGTATTGGTGGTGGTGGGGGGGCTCTGTTTGATCGTATTGGTGGTGGTGGGGGAGCTCTGTTTGATGGTATTGGTGGTGGTGAGGGGGCTCTGTTTGATGGTATTGGTGGTGGTGAGGGGGCTCTGTTTGATGGTATTGGTGGCGGTGAGGGGGCTCTGTTTGATGGTATTGGTGGTGGTGAGGGGGCTCTGTTTGATGGTATTGGTGGCGGTGAGGGGGCTCTGTTTGATCGTATTGGTGGTGGTGAGGGGGCTCTGTTTGATGGTATTGGTGGTGGTGAGGGGGCTCTGTTTGATCGTGTTGGTGGTGGTGAGGGGGCTCTGTTTGATGGTATTGGTGGTGGTGAGGGGGCTCTGTTTGATGGTATTGGTGGTGGTGAGGGGGCTCTGTTTGATGGTATTGGTGGTGGTGAGGGGGCTCTGTTTGATCGTATTGGTGGTGGTGAGGGGGCTCTGTTCGTATTGGTGGCGTTGAAGAACAAAACAAAAAGCAAAACATTTTGCAATAAAGATTGATTTTCACCGCTATTCGCAAAACCGGTCAGACAATCTTGCGGGGTGGTGCGGTCAAAATAAGTTCTCGTGATGTCGAAGCGGTCGGAAGACGAACGTTTACACGAGCGGCTGAACACGAAGAAGCTGCACAGTCTGTTGCCGTACAGCAGCGCCCAGCCTGATGATGATGATGATTGGCTGCTCCGTGTTCGTCGGACGGTCCCTCTATTCATTCCGGAATCGTTTCTTGGCGGACGGTGGCATCAAAAGATAATGACTCGTGGTGTCACCACCGCACGTTCGAATGGCAAAGCAGCTGCTGAATCAAGTTCAAGTTCATTTACTAGGTATAGAGCCCTGTGAGCCATTCGGCTCTTGAATCGGGTGCAACCGCAACAAACAAAAAACAAAAACATGAACAAGAAAACATATTAAAGTGAATATGTGACTAAGTGCAAACAGAAAATCCAGGAAGAGACAGCAAAATATTGCAGAAAAAACACCGTACACCAACGCTGTGTGCAAAAATCCCAGTGGGATGCAAGTCAAACAACAACAACAACCACAAGACAACTCGAAGGGCAACTTCTGATGGAGAGTCCTGCAGCTAACTCAAGGGCAACACAGCGACATCGTCAGACTGCAGCATAACAACATTCGTGGGTTGAACTACGTTCTGTACCCTCGCAATGCACACTGACTCATGCGCAGAGCGGAGGATTTGTTTGCGATAAACGCAAAATATAAACGGTAACTGAGCTGCCGTGGTGTATGTACGTTGAACTTCTTTCGCACCCTACGTCCCCAACCGTGCTGATACGGAGGTGCGGGAAATACTCGAATCCCCCTGATTCTCATCTAACCAGCTAACCCCATGGCTGGTGGATCCAGAGTTTATTGGGATTTGCGGCCGGAGTTTAAGTTTGTCATCATTGTGGGAGAAGGTGCGGGGGGTGGGGGGGGGGGGTGCTGTTTGACCATACTTCACCACGATGGTCAACGTCTCAGTAATAAAAACAAAAATGTGTATAAACAAGCAGACAATGCACCACCTTCAAATATCTGCCCCCCTACGTACAAACAAGGAAATATTATTTTCAAAGATCATCGTCCTCTGGGAGTGTGAATGATTTCAGTCGCATTGGTTCAACAAACGCAAAATCTGGACCGATTTTGACTTTCATTGTCTCATCGGCAGAGGAAGGCTTGGGTTGAACCACCAGATGCCTATGAGCAAGGACCCTCTCTGTTAGATATGGTGCCTAGTTCAACACGAAACCGTGTAATACAGAAACACATTCCTGCGGAGGGAGCTGGTAGGAACGTTGGGTTGCTCGGTCAATGGCCAGGGTCAACAGCGACGTGGTGTATTCCGCAAATATGCCTGACTGTGAGGGCGGGCACAAGCCGGCGTGAGTAGGTTAAACGTTGAGTTTTATAAGGGCACCACGGGGTGACCAGCCCCTCCCCACCCAGCCCCACCCCTCCCACCCCCCACCCAGCCCCACGCTCCCCACCCAGCCCCTCGCCACCCTCCCCTCCCCACCCAGCCCCTCCCCACCCTCCCCACCCAGCCCCTCCCCACCCTACCCTCTCCACCCATTTTTGGATGCACGACGGACGGACGGACACAATAATCCCCTGTGGGCTGGTGGAACCAGGTGGTTCCTACCAGAATAATGATTGTGTGTTGCTATGTTTGTGTCCGCTTCGCGTGTTTAGGGTTCGACTGGAGCCTGCACTTTAAATGGGAGCACCTTTCTCCAGAGCAGTCTGCCAAGAGGGAGGACCCAACACAGCCTATACGGTCCGTGTGTGTCCGTGTGTATGCACATGTGTGTGCACATACGTGTTCATGTGCGTTTTCACATACACGTGCACACATGTCCACACCAATGTGCACGCGTGTGTGTGCGCGTACACGGATCGGTGTAGTGGTTATCGCCCCGCACTACGAACCTGGCGACCCGAGTTCAGTTCCCACTCATGACCAATATTACCGATGCATATTTGATACCGGTCCTGGGGCTCCCCTAGGTCGACTCAGTCTTAATTAAGCGCATGGTGAGGTGTGCAAATGTCAGCCCTGGAGAGAGAAAAGTGGCCAGGCCAGGCGCTGGCCACACCACCCCCTCGAGTGCCATGCCGGCCTGAATGGGTGCTCGCTAACAGCACTTACACCGACAGCCTGTTAAAAGCTATACTGGGGATCTTTGTCTTTGTACATGTCGGTTAGTGGTTGTTGTTGTTGTGTGCGTCTTTGTCTGTGTCAAAGAGCACCTAGCAAGCGCCGTGGTGACATCGCCACCACTTAGTGGCGAACGGCGATTATTATTGTTGTGTCCCAATGGCTGTTGTTATTGTAGATTTGAAGTTTTCGTGACTGCAGGGATCCATACTCTTTGGTTCTTTCGGTAGTCACGTAGGTAGAAAATAAAATCACGACGTTTTGATTGCAACACAAGCAATCATCATCAGGTGGGAAAACCACACCAAGAAAATTTATTTTTATATAACCTCTTACAGCATCTTCAGAAAAAAATGTTCTTGCTGTGGTTTTCCCACCTGATGATGATTGCTTGTGTTGCAATCGAAACGTCGTGATTTAATGTATTGTATTTTCTACCCACGTGACTTTACCGAAAGAACCAAAGAGTATGTTGTCATTGTGTCATGCGTCTGCGCGCGTGTGTCTCAGGACGCCTGTGATTGCCGGGGGGTTGTTCGCCATCCACCGCTCCTGGTTCGAGGAGCTGGGAAAATACGACACAGCCATGGACATCTGGGGTGGAGAGAACCTGGGTAGGGATTCACGCACAGACGCACGTACAAGTGTGTGTAGGTGTATCCAGGCGTGCGTACGTGCGTGCGCTTGCGGGCACCTGGGAATGCAGGCCTTCGTTTCAGCCGTATGTACACCCGTCACTCTGGTTGTAGCTACCAGTCCTGTGCCACGTGCTCCAGTCTACCACAGACCCAGATAATATCTGGGGAGAAGTTAATCCCCCGTGTGTGTTGCGAATGTGTATGTGAATCTACGTGTTTATGTTTGTGGCTGTCTGTCCATGCGTACGTGTACATGTGTGTGCGTGTGCGATAGTGCGGTGATTAGTGCACTGCGCTACAAACCGGGTGACCCGAGTTCAATTCCTGCTCACGGCCAATACCAATAATGATTATTTTAACTGGTCCTGGACCTTCCCTAGGTCGACTCAGCCTCAAATGAGTACCTGGTGCAGTGTGTAAAAAACATCGCCACTGGGGAGACAAAGACGGCCGGGCGTGGTGCTGACCACCCACCCCCTCGTGTGCCATGCCGACCTTCATAGGTGCTCGCTAACAGCACTTTCCCCAACAGTCTGCTTGACACTTTACGGGGGACCTTTGCCTTTGTGTGCGTGCACACATCTCTCACATGTGTGTGGATCAGCGGTCAGGGCGCCGCGCTACGAACCCGGCGACCAGAGATTCGATTCCCGCTCACTGGCCAACACCGGTGACGAATATGTGAACAGGTCTATGGCTTCCCATCAGTTCCACTCAGCCTGAACAGAGTACCTGGTGCGATGTGTAAAACATCAACATTGGGGAGACAAAGACTGCCGGTCACGGGTGCTGACCACCCACCCCCTCGTGTGCTGTGCCGGCCTTTACTTACCCTAACAGTCTGTTAAGGCTTTACAGGGGGGGTCTTTGTGTATTTGATACGCAATAGATTTTTGGGTTAGGCTAAAAACCCTCCTCCAAGCAGTACAGCCAAACAAATTAAATAATCACGTGCACAGACATTTGTCATTATATTTGGTACAGCTCACCGATAAATTGTAGAACAATTCCCACATCCAAACATGGCAAATGGATGGGACGTTTTGCTTGGAACTGCGTCAAGCGTCTTGAGCTGGAGACCAGGAAGTGGCGACGACTGTCAATATCGGGAGGGTTTTCACGAGAAAGATATGGCCCCGGACCATTCCAGTGGCCTAATCCAAAAATGCTAACGGCGTGTCACGACACCGCGCCGTGCGCGCGTGTATCTTCACCGCGCGCAGAGATCTCCTTCCGCGTGTGGCAGTGCGGCGGGTCGCTGGAGATCATCCCGTGCAGCCGCGTGGGCCACGTCTTCCGCAAGCGCCACCCCTACACGTTCCCCGAGGGCAACGCCAACACCTACATCAAGTGAGCGGACGGGCGGGCGGGCGGCCACGTAGCCTGGCGCCTCCCTCTCGGGGCGCTCGCCTACCCGAGCCCCTCGTTCAACTCGCGAAGCGAAGGGTTCGATTCCCCACCACCTCCAAACGCGGACAGAGCTGCTTCTGGAGTCGCTCGACTAGGCCTCTTGCTAAAACCCTGGGTGGCAGTAGCGGCGGTGGTGCGCGACTGCGATCCGGCGCTTTGAAGGCAACGCTATGCAGGCTTCTGCACTGCTGCCCCCACAGCTTGGAATTTCCTCACCCCGCTGCTGGTTGATTCCTGCCACCCTCTTCCATTCCAGATTTAATTCCCGTGCCATCGATTGAACTACTTCCCCACGATGTCACGCTTCCACCTCCGTTCCAATAGTCACCCGATGTATGCCCACATCACTTTGCACAATTAATTACCGTGAAATATTGTGCAGCTTTAGTTTCCTTCAATATTCTTGTAGAGATGATGGAGGCAAATGAGCTCTCTCCGCCTGTGTCCAAATCTCGTGCCAGCTTCACGGCTGCCGTTTCTCGTCGCCGCCCTGTGCTGGAGATCGTTCTTCGCAGCAGCGTCAACCTGGCGCATCGTTGCTCATCCTCCTGTTGCTTGATTTGTGTGCTTGGGTATGCGGCACCGTGGTGGCGAAACGTTAACCACCTCGCCTGGTATGCAGGAGGTCGTGGGTTCGATTCTGACCCTGACGCCTGCTGCTGTATAGTTGGAGTTTGCGTGTATCTCTGTCCCCGTGGTTCGGTGGATTTTTGTCTGGCTCCTGCAGTTTTCCCTCCACGTTTAGAATCAATGTCACGAGTTTAGGATATTTGGTTGCTAGACAATTCCACGTGTTAAGCCACTTCGTTGAGCAATCATTTGTGATAGCTAGGTTGCTTCTGAAAAATATCTATACAGTATAGCTCAGTGGGCCTTACCTGGTAAAATAAAAAATAAATTCTAGATTTGAATGTTTTCGTGACTGCAAGGATCCATACTCTTTGGTTTTTTCGGTAAAATCACGTAAGTATAAAAATAGTTGATGTTTGGTATTATTTCCCCGATCCATTCTAGGCGTGCGTCGTCTGTCTTGGGTCATCTCTACCAGTCGCCTCACCTCTCGTCACAGTCGTTCTCCTCTTTGCCTCACCTCCCGTCCAACTACATTCTTGCAGTTGCCATTTTTGTTTGTTCATCATCTTGACACCATTAGACAACTTGGTACACGCACAACACCAGAGTGTGGGGGTTTTGGTAGGCCAGACGGCTCGCGTGCGGTGTGTCATACTACCACCACCACCGCCACCACTCCATCTGCCCAGCCCGTGCTCTCTTAGTCTATTTAGAATTGTTTTCACCTTTGTTCATCTTTCCGTTATGCTGGTGTGCTGTGACCGGCGGCTGGAGAAGCAAAACTGCGCTTAGCACAGTTTTGTGAAGCTCCCAAAGCCGCCGGGATGCGCGGTTGTCCGGAGAATGGCGGCAATGCAGCAGTGGGTCCATAGCGACCCAGCCGTGCGGACCACGGGAGTAATAATCATCATTTGCATTTGTATTACTGTCATGGTGGGCTCTCTCCCCGTGCGTGCGCATCCCCTGCCTTCCCCAGGAACACGCGGCGCACGGCCGAGGTGTGGATGGATGAGTTCAAGAAGTTCTACTACGAGGCTCGCCCCGCCGCAAAGTACAAGCCGTACGGCGAGTGCGTATGCCACGCCACGGCCCGTCGCACCGTCGGGCCCTCCGCTGTGCTGCCCCCTCCCCCCCACCCCCGACCCCTCGTCATGCTTGCGCCCGAATCGCGCGCAGCAGGGAGCCGCCAACGTTGCTCGCGGCTCCCCACTGCGGCCATTCAAGCGGTGAGCACAGCGGTGGTCTCCCCTGGCGGCCCTGTCCGCCGTAGGAGGAAATTCCAAATTCACGTGGTGGGGGAATATTTCAGATTTCAGGAGCTAAGCAGGTTTTAGCCTGGTCAGTGGTGGGTGACCACCTCGTATAACATGGCTGTTGTATGAGAATAGGTTTTCCCCTTTTTTCTGGCAACAAAACAGGTTTTAAGATGTTCAAACACCAAACTGGAACCTTTTGCAAGGAATCATGTCACTGCAGTAACCACAATGCTTGTGGTCAGAATGCAAACAAATAAATACTCTGATAATATATGCATTGTCTTTGTTGCCAGAAAAAAGGGGAGAACCTATTCTCATATTTTGGTACTGGCAAAGGAGGTCCCATGATATGGCTGTTGTAGGCTGCTGCTGCTGCAGTGGGGCTGTGTTATCATCAGAGGGCGGTGCAGCCAACATTCATTGTTGTGCTGTACTATTTCACTCCAATGTCTACAACCTCGCGCTGACGAACGCGGCGAAGAAGGGTCAAGTAACCCACACGATCCACGCGGATGGGGGGCGGCAGTCACCCGACAGTGGGTTCGCACAAATGCCTGCACAGGCACGTGGCACGTGACGGGGGCGGTATTTCAGTTGCTTGTGATTGAATTCAATTCTCAAGTGGAGCGAGTTCCCGGTCCAATACTTAACACAGATGGCAGAATCGCCTAACTTCACCACACGCTTTGTAGAAGTGAGCCTTTGAGCGGCAGTGAACCGATGATTATGCCGATTAGATTGACTAATGTCTGATATGGCTGTTGTTCACAATCTACCCGATTCACCGAGCCTGGGGCAGTGCCCATCTCGGTTGGCATCCCTGAGCCAGCGGTTGGAAATGTCCTCATTCCCACGACGGGGGAAAGTCTGATCCTAGATTTGAGGCTTTTGTGACTGCAAGGATTTATACTCTTAGGTTTTTTCGGTAAAGTCACGTAGGTAAAAAGTAAAATAATAATAAATGAAAATACATCAATTAAATAACTTATTTTCATTTATTATTATTTTATTTTTTACCTACGTGACTTTACGGCTTTGGTGTGGACCAATCAGTTTCAAGGACAATGCATATATTATCATAGTGTGTTTTTGTTTGCATTTCGACTGCAAGTATTGTGGTTAACGCAGACATGAATCCTTGTAAAAAGGTTTCAGTTTTGTTACCAGAAAAAAGGGGAAAAACCCTGTTATTAAGCAGAAACCACTTTGACTTGTTTCCGCTAATTAACAAAGTGACCGTGGTCAGTAACATTGATTTGATCTCGTCCTAACTTCGCTTTGGCTGCACCCTCCACTCTCGCTCTCCGTGTCTCTCTCCCTCCCGCTGCCGCTGCGTTGGCATCTCCGTTGTGAACCGCCGCAGCATCCAGAGCCGCGTGGATCTGCGCACGCGTCTGCAGTGCAAGCCCTTCCGCTGGTACCTGGACAATGTTTATCCAGAGCTCAAGTAAGCACCGTCTCCCCACTCATATAAACTTTCACCCCCGCTGTCGTAAAGTCCCAACTAAGCTGGGGCAGTGGGCCAAATACTCTCTCCCCTAAGTATGTATATTGAACTTCTTTCGCGCCGTACGTAGCCAACCGTGCTAAACGGAGGTGTTGGGTGAAGGACAACAAACTAAACACAAACATCGGCTTTAAAGAAATTAGGTTTCAACCTAGATGACTGAAAAGTGCATAGCTCCAGTGGCTAGGTGCATGCCAGGTCCACTTTGATGCCGCGTGAAGTGTCAAAGGCTCGCTGGCAGAAATCTTTCAGAATCAGAATCGTTATTTATTCCGGAGAAATCCGATGAGCTGTGAAGCTCTTTTTTCACAGATGTCCAGTCATGTCCAGAAGATCACGGAACAGACCCAGCTGACATGGGTTGACTGGCTGAGATAACCGGCAGATGTACCAACATGCATGCCTCACGTACGCACACACGAACGCCGCACATACGCGACGGCCCGTGACCAGATCACCCAGAATGCTTCCGGGCTCGTACATGTCTGGCAGCTAAGCAGGTAATGAGCCTGGAATGTGTTTGGATGGGGCTATGTGATGGGCAGCAGAGAAGGCAGTGCTGCAAAAATCCAGCATTGTGCTGTACATACTCTTAGGTTTTTTGGGTAAAGTCACGTAGGTAAAAAAAATACAATTAAAATTCTCTCGGCAGAATTTTTTTTTTTCCTACGTGACTTTACCGAAAAAACCTAAGAGTATGAATCCTTGCAATCACGAAAGCTTCAAATCTAGAATTGTGCTGTACTTGTGTGCTTCCGCCGTAATTACAGATTACTGCGTTAGTAATGAAAGGGTGATACGGGAGGCCATCATCCAGCAGTGCATTGATTAAAGAGCTCTTCTGATACAAGGCGCTGCTCACCACACCAGCCCCTCTCGTGCCATACCAACGTCAATTGGTGCTCGCGAACAGCACGTTCCCCAACAGTCTGTCACGTGACATGCATGTGGCGTCTCCACCTCCAGGACTCCCGTGGAGGTGCAGACGGTGACCGGGGTGCTACGTCAGGGTGACCGTTGCCTGGAAACCGTCGCCACGACGATGGCAGAGAGACAGCCTGCCGTGGCAATGGGCCACTGCATCGGGCAGAAGGGCGTCTCGGCTGTCACACAGGTTCCTCCACGCTTCATTGGATCGTGGGCAATTGGCCCGTCAGCGTTCATCTTCTTGGTTCTTTCGGTAAAGTCACGTGACTTTACCGAAAGAACCAAGAAGATGAATCCCTGCAGTCACGAAAGCATTAAATCGAAAAATCTTGTCAGCGTTGTTCCTGTATTGATCACTCGACCTGCTTAAAATGCGACCCGCATGCCAGCACACAAACTGACCCTCTTGCCCAACTCTGCACCAGCCCACATGCCCAACTGCCTACATATCTAACTGCCTGTCTGCCTGGCTATCTGCCCACATACACGGTGGTCGAGATGTTAACTACCTGGCCTGGTATACAGGTCATGGGTTTCATCCCAACCCTGACGCGTGTATATTTGGAGTCGGCATGTGCTCCCCGTGGTGGTGTGGATTTTTCTCCGGGTCCTCCGGTTTATACCCTCCACACGTAGAAACATGCGATGCAGAGTATTTGACTGCAATACATTTCCATCTGATAAGCCACTTCGTTGAGCTATCATTTGTGGCCAGGTCGCTTCTGAAAAAGAGCTACACAGCTCAATGGGCCTTACCTGGTCAAATTTAATGTTTTGTTTAATATACATCTATCGACTTGCTTGGCTAACTGCCTGCAAGCCCACCAGTCTCTTGTGCAATGGTTCCAAACCTGTGGTCAGCCATGGGAATTCGTCCGTGGAACTGTTGCGGATTCTGCAGAATTTTTTTGAGACATTTTAATTAAACAAAAAATATTTCTGCACAGCGGTCCCCAAATGTGTTATTGATGCTGGCAGTCGGCCGCAGGTCCAAGAATGTTGGGAACCGTCATTGTGGCGTATCTACACATCTCAGCACACAAGCCACCTGTACTCGTGTGTGTGTGCGTACGTGTTCTTGTGTGCCTGGACGTCGCCGTGTGTGCATGTTTCGTGCACCGTGCGTGTTGTGCGTGCTTGCGTGCACATGTGTGCACGTGCATACCCGTATTTGTGTGCCATTGTGCGTGTCTGCATGTGCGCGCGTTGATGTGCATGTTGGCTGAGCGGCGGCACAGCGGTGAGGGCACTGCGTCACGAACCTGGCCATCTGAGTTTGATTCCCTGACACAGAACGTCAGTGGCGAGTGATATCAGAACCGGTCCTCGGCCTCCTCTAGTTCGACTCAGCCATAAATGAGTACCCGGTGTGGTATTGGAGTGTACTAATTCAGAGACACTTGTAGGAGGCACTCTCTCTTGTTTATTCCGGCCTTCACAGCCATAGGGGATAACTACATACCAGGTCAGGACAGCCAACACGCTTCCAGACCCACAGCTCGAAGAGGCGAAGACCATGACGACGATGGCATGACGAGTTCCACTCCCGATGGCAGCAGCCCCGACTGCGAGTCGGAGCTCGTCTTTATCCTCCCCAGCGTGGCCAGGCTCCGCCCCCCTCTGGATCCCCCAGAAGGCTCCGGGCTTCGCCCACGTGTCCCACTGGTAGAACAAGCTGCTACCCCCAATCCCGTTGTCTACCAGTCCCCAGCGCTATGCGCTGCAGTGACTCATTCTACGTCACTACAGTATGCAACACTTCAGCACTGGGGAGACAAAGGTGGCTGGGCATGGTGTTTGTATGTGTTTGTACACACAAACACATACAAACACATACACACACATACATACAAAGACAAAGATCCCCCGTATAGCCTTAACAGACTGTAGGGGCAAGTGCTGTTAGCGAGCACCTATGAAGGCCGGAACGGTACACGAGGGGGTGGGTGGCCAACACCACGCCCGACCGCCTTTGTCTCCCTAGTGGCGATGTTTACACACCGCACCAGGTACTCATTTAAGGCTGAGTCGACCTAGGGGAGGCCCAGGACCGGTTCAGATAATCGTCACTGGTGTTAGCCGTGAGCGGGAATCGAACCCGGGTCGCCAGATTCATAGCGCAGGGCGCTAACCGCTACACTACCGCTCCCCACCACATACATACACACACATACACACAAACACATACACACAGACATACACATACACACAAACACACACATACATGCACACAAACACATACACAATACACACACACATACATGCAGACACAGACAGACACATAACACACATACATTAACACACTTACACACACATACATAGACACACACATACATACACACAAACACATGCACACACGTACATACACACATACATAGAGACACGCAGACATACACATAAAGACATAAAAAAACCCACATACATACACACACACATACACACAAACACATACATACACATACATACACACATACATAGAGACACACAGACATACACATAAACACAAACACACATACACATGACCCGGCTTCGCCCGGGACTTGGATCCACGATGCCCCGCCGCCTTTGTCTCCCCAGTGACGATGTTCACACACGACAGCAGTTACGCTTTTGAGGCTGAGTGGACCTAGGGGAGGGCCAGGTCCGTTTCAAATAATCGTCAGCGGTGGTGGGCGTGAGTTGGAATCGAACTGGGGTCGCTCAAGCAGCTTAATGACTGTTTGTACAAAGAACATATAAAGAATCGATTATAATAACCAGGCAAGAGTCCACATTATAGACTGCCAGTACACGCACTCAGCTTCATAAGCAGGCTAGAGTGTACATGATAGAGTGGCAGTACGCTCACCGAGCTTAATAAGCAGGCTACAGTGTACATGATAGACTGGCAGTACGCTCACCCAGCTTAATGAGTATTTGTACAGTGAACATTAAAGTAATCGATTGTTGGCGCGTTGGGTTTAAAAGTAATATTAATAGCACACATTGTGGTGGGGGTGTAGTGAAGAGTAGGAAAAACTTTGATGAATTTACCTCAGAGTGGCGTGGTGGGTGTCGAGGCCTAGTAGCGTGCAAAGCCTGCGGCCTCGCCTAAAATTGTCGGCTTGGAAGAGGCAGGGTACGGGTGGCGTTCCTTCCCCCCCCCCCCCCCCTAGCGCTCCAACAATACTGTGTAATGGCTATTATTTAATTAAATACGGAGCTTATGAAAGTGGCGAAGGCGTGGCTAGCCGTTGGCAGGGGCAACCGCCGTCCAATGAAACTGCAGCCCTTGGCGAAGGCGTGGCTAGCCGTTGCCAGGTCCAATGAAAGCGGCGAAGGCGTGGCTAGCCGTTGCCAGGGGCAACCGCCGTCCAATGAAAGTGCGTATGGGCCAAAGTCCACACACACACACACAGACAGACAGACATGAACGATTTTATATATATAGATGCTTCCATCTAAACTTTATTCTCTTACATCACACGCGTCTATACCGTACTATATACTGCCATAGGCAAACCCAACATTAAATTACATACTGTATTGCTATAAACCACCCTATACCTTATACATTTTAATATAACACTATGTATTATTATACCCACCCTAATGGTGATCAAAATGGTTTATTACGTCCTTCCAGTGATTGCTAAGCCAGAATCCATCTTCTCGGTTAAAATTGTCTCTGTGTTTGTATATGTGGATCGCCTCATGAACGAATCTCTCATGATAGCCAGATGGCTTGCAGAGAACCTCTGTCTTGGAGAAGTCAATGTCATGTGAGCCCACTGAGTTGTAACAGTGATCTGCCACGGCTGAGGTGTTTGTCCTACCGTGTTTCAGGTCAGCTTTATGTTCACGGATGCGGTCCGAGACATGTCGTTTGGTTTCCCCAATGTAACTGCTACCACAGAGGCAACTTAGTTTGTAGACACCAGGGTACTGTATGTCTGGAACCACATCTTTTACAGACGGTACCAGATCACGGATTTTATGTTCTACCCATTAGGGTGGGTAGAATAATACATAGTGTTATATTAAAATGTATAAGGTGGTTTATAGCAATACAGTATGTAATTTAATGTTGGGTTTGCCTATGGCAGTATATAGTACGGTATAGACGCGTGTGATGTAAGAGAATAAAGTTTAGATGGAAGCATATTATATAATTTTTTACAACGTAGAAAAATGTTTTTTATGTATTACTTACTGTTAGTAACTCAACTTATTGTAGAGTATAGTAAGTATACTGATGATGCTATGTAGTTTATACTTTAGTTTGTTATGCAGTTAATACGTTAGTTTTTTACGTGGTTGTTTAGTAACTGCAGCTACATACTATTAACATTCCTTTCCTTTGTTAATGCTACCCCCTCCCCCCCCCCCTTTGATGCTGCTAATCCTGCATAATGCACGGGCATAGTATTGATTTGGAACCCCCCCCGCCCACCTCCTACGCATTTTCCATATGCTGAATTCCTCTTGATATGCAAATTATTTTGTTTAGGCGCTCTTCTTCCCACCTCCCCCCCTCTAACCCAGCTTAAATATACGCTCCAAGCTTGGTGGTGCTTCATTCTTCGCCTGAGGACGGCTGCTTGCGTTGTGGCCGAAACGTCGTGAGAATTGTTTTATTATGTTTTATTTTTATTATTTTATTACTTCCCTTCTACGTGACTTTACCGAAAGAACCAAGAAGATATACGTGGGATGTTTGTGTTTGTCTGTGTGCTTGTATGTTTGTTCACAGTGTTATGCACGTGTATGTTTCTGCATGTCTTTGCATATTTACACGTGACTGCATGTGCATGCGTGTGTGTGCGTGTGTGATGGGGAGTGGTGGTGCAGTGGTTAGCGCAATGCGCGATGAACCTAGCGACCCGAATTCGATTACTGCTAACGGCCAACACCAGTGATGATTTTCTGAACCGGTCCTGGTCCTCCCCTAGATCGACTCAGCCTCAAATCAGTGCCTGGTGCGGTGTGTAAGCATCGCTACTGGGCGGACAAAGGCGGTCAGGGCATGGTGCTGGCCACCCACGACCCTCGTGTACCTTTCCGGCCTTCGTAGGTGCTCGCTAACAGCACTTGCCCCAACAGTCTGTTTAAAGGCTGCACGGGGGATCTTTGTCTTTGTGCTGTCGTCTCCTCCTCCTCCCCAGGAGTGGAGCCTGACCCCGTCGCACCTGGTGCGCCAGCAGCAGCGCTGCTTGGCGCTCGTGTCCCCAGCCCCGGGTGGCCCCGTCTCGCTCACCCTCCTGCCCTGCAACCGTGGCGATGCCAAGCAGGTGGGCCAAGGGGAGGACACGGGACGGACGCACACACAGAGAGACACGGGGATACGCGGGGACACACGGGGAGACACAGAACTGCTTTTTGCGTTTAGTTATCCACCCCCCGCACCACTGATCAGCACGGTTGGCTACGTATGGTGCGAAAGAAGTTCAACATACATACGTGGGCAGGCACGTGTGGGATGGCACACATGGGGACACATGAGGAGGTATTGGCACACGCGGGGAGACACGGGGGTCATGAGAGAGCAATGGGACAACCAGAGACATGTGGGAACGCTTCGGCAGGGATATTTGGGAACACGTGGAGGCCCAGACGGATGCGTGCGAATGCGCATCGGCATGCGAGGATACATCGGAAGGTACGCAGGGGGACACACGGAGATGCAAAAGGAGGCAGGTAGGGATGCCCAGGAACACAAGGGGACAATGGAAGGATGTGGGAATGTCTGGTAATATCATATACGGAGATATGCGGTGATGTGCCCGGTACGTGCAGACTCACGCACACGGATGCACGGGGACATATGGGGTCGCTTTTTAGTTGTGTATGTGGTGCCCGTGTTTGTACATATCTAACGATCCACCACACTCCCCCCGCAGTTCAATAGATTCTCATGAATTGAGATCACAATTTGAATGAAGAGTTTATCCTCTATTTGGTCTCTATTGTATTTCCCATCTCGTTTGTTTTTTTAATGCTATTAGTTTATTCTCTTGGCCTAAAGGATGTACGCCAGGTTTAAGAGGCGCTTACTAACTGGGCGACACCCTACTTTTCGTCAAATGTAATTTGTCCGAGCCCGACTATTGCTTTGGAATCTATTTAATTTGATATCGACCTCGGTTTGTGCACTGTTTTGAAAGATTATTTTGGCTTTTGCTGTAATATTCATTTAGTTGTTTTTCCTCTGAATTATATTTGCTTGATTGTTATCATTTTTAGTCATCTGGGACACTTGCAAATGAGACGCTCTCTGTCTCTTGAGCTCTCACCCTTTGTTAAACAAAATTAACTTAAGACAATACTTGAAACTAACTAAACTAAACTTTGTTTATTTTACCAGGTAAGGCCCAATGAGCTATATAGTTCTTTTTCAGATGTGACCTGCCCACAAATGATAGCTCAACAAAGTGGCTTATTATGTGGAAATGTTTAGCAGCCAAATACTCTAAAATGCATTTGCATTACAAATTTGGAGGAAAAAACCAGAGGACTCGGAGAAAAATCCACGTGACCACAGGGTGGGAAACACGCCAACTCCAAATATACCGCATCGTCAGGGTCAGGATTGAACCCACAACTTCCTGTAGACCAGGCGAGGTAGTTAACTTCTCACCACCTTGATGATGATGAGAGACACACGCAAATTCCAAATACACAACAGGCGTCCGGGTCAGAATTGAACCCACGACCTCCTGTATACCAGGCGAGGTAGTTAACATCTCGCCACCATGGCACCCCCGTTTGGCTGACGAAGGATCCGTTGTTTTGTCGTGCCCAGCGCTGGCATCGCCGGGGACGGCTGATGCGTCACATGGCCTCCCGCCTCTGCCTGGACGCCACGGGGATGGATGTCTCCGTGGCCACGTGCCAGCACGACTCCTCCGCTCAGCAGTGGGAGCTGCAGCCCAGCGAGCGATAAGAGGCGGCCTGGCCTACACGATGGCCACTGCTCCGGCAGGATTCCTTCAACACCTCTGGCTCTTCACTCCGACTTACCCCCCCTGAACTCTGACCGCTCGATACCTCAATCCTTGACCTGTTAATCTCACCGCGCACCTCTCGTGTCATTACCCGAATCCTCACCTCCTGACACCTCACTCGCAGACCTCCCACCTCTTGACTCCATACCCCTACAGCTCTCCGTCCTTGGTGTGCGATCTCGAGATGCCTCACTCCTTGACCCGTCACCGCTTCACACTTCATTCCCTGACCTGTCACTTACTTACTCCTCAACTCGCTGACCTCGCACCCCTCTAACCTCTTGAACCTTTATTCTAGTTAATTTTCCTACGACCTCTGACCTTTATTCTGGAATCCTCCTAAATCCAACCCCCCCCCCCCCCCCTCCGAGTTTCTCTCCCACGATTGTTCCTCTCCCACCGTCCGCCTGCGCCTTTCACCGATTTCCAGCGACAATCCCTAACCACCCCCCCCCCCCCCACTTTTACCCTTACCCCTCACCTCCGATTCCTCGCATTGCATCACACTCCCCCCTCCCCGAGACCCAGAACATTTTATAAATCACTTCTTAGTATTATTGTTTATTTGTTTGTGATAGCGGTCGAACCGTTTTGTCCGTCGGTGGCTCCCGTCAGGAGACGCGGCCAAGCGCCCGGCGCGTGGTGGCGTCCGGCGTATTTCAGTCGTTTGAGCTTTGGCCGATTTTTAGCGAGACGCCGCTTTTTCCGTTTCCGCGTTTTTACTCGGCCTCCAAACTCGGACGAGACTGACCGAGCGAGAGCACGGGACGACACTCGTCTCCATGGGGGGGCCCAAAGCGAATGGCGACGGTGTCCACGTTCCCGTCGCGGGAGCCAGTTTATTGTCACGACCACCACTGTGTTGATGGCCCACAATCAGCAGGTACTCACATCGTGAGTTGGCGTAGCATTACGGGATTGCCGGTACTATCTTCTGTAACACGATTGCGAAAGCGGGTTATTCTCGAACATCGTGTATAATGACATTGGGTGGTGAGCGTCTCTGTGAAGAGGGTATTGGGACAGAGCGTTTGGTCCGCATTCCTCGGCTGCTAAAACCTGTACTGGAAACATCTCGGGCACAGAATAAATCTGCACCAGCATGGCTGGTGAAATGCGAGTGGATTCTGGTGCTTGTAGTAAAATGCACCTTAGGAGGGTACCCTGTAAGAGCTGGCAACTTCCAGGGGTTGTTCCTGGACGAGATGACAGCTGAGCTAAAGTGGTAACCCTGCTCATACAAGCACCGGGCCGATGTTCGTCTCAACCGGCGGATCTAAAGCTGCGGTGGATGATCCACATTCATATGGCAGACGGTCAGAACATTCGTAAAACAAACCTACTGGTTCTCCCACAGTGGCGCTTCCCTTGGAGGCGCTGCAGAGATCGTGGCTGGGACGACTTCCAACCAGGATTTGAACGCGTGAGCTTCCCACCGCGAAGTTGGGCACGCCAGCGCCTGTTCGGCCGGACTACGCCGTCTGTCTGTGAATGTGAAATGTACGAGGTACCCCTTTGCGTCCGGAGTACAAATTCACTCTGGTGCGCATCTCTTCTCCAGCCAGTCCTGGTGAAATAACAAGTCGGCTTTGCTCCGTGCCCAGACACCAAGAGTACAACGGGGCTGAAATCGTTGGTTTCAACTTAATAATCTTTATACCGTCAGTACATTATGGTACGACCGTCGGTGGGAAATGCTGCTTTTGCTCGCGAACTATCACCGTTTCCAATGGAAGTATAGACGAGACGCGATTCCTTCCGTTGCGAGGTGGTTTCACGCCAACGCGAACGTGGTGGCGCGTTGCGTCCGTTTTCACTTTTGTTTTCCGTTTTCACTTTTGTTTTCCGTTTGTCGAGTTGCGCGTGACAAAGAAAAAAACTGGAAGAATTACGTCTCGCGGCAAAATTTGCTCGCGATTTTCGGACGTTGTGTTGTACATAGATGGTGGCGTGCGTCGAAGTTCGCGTGCGGGTTTTCAAAGACGAGAAGAACGGAAATGTTACTCGCAGGGCTCATTTTACGACACTCCAATTTTACCGACGCCAGTGATGGGAAACACCCCCCCCCCCCTCCTCCAGTTTTATACCAACAGCACAATTTTATACGGACACCAGTTTCGTGGAATTGCAATAGAATTGCGATGTGATGACGATGTTGATGACGTCGTCGCCGTCACTTTAATAATAGCGGGCGCAAGAAAAATGAGGGACATTCCCTGGAATAGGTGGTGGCTTCGTGGCACCGAGGAATCGCAATAAGTTTTGGCAAAGCGCTGAGCCAGCCTGGTGCAGTTAGTTCTCCTCGGGTTCAAATGTGTCTAATTCCGCCCTCGCGATTAAATTGAGCTCTTAAGTGTAACGAGTTTAACACGCAGGCTTTTCGCGATCGATATTATCCACAAGAGGTTTTTAGGGTTCGAACGCGTAAATATAAATGCGTCGTTAAACCCGCCACCACCAGACTCTATTGTGGAAGTAATTGGCTGTGTCGGGTGGTGGCGGGTTGAACGACACATTTACTTACGCGTTCGAACCCAAAAACCTCGATTAGGGGAGTGTAACGAGTTGGCAGTCTCGCCAATGCCTGCACAGAAACGCCATCGGGCAGAATACGTTTGATTCGTCGATTGGCTCAGCACACTTCTGACGGCTATTTATTTGCGAGATGACGCTTGACAGGCTCTGAACCGCTCTGTGCAGAGCATTAGCGGTTGAGAGGCTTCTAAGCGTAGTTTCCATGGTGTCGCTATTATCCCCGTGTGCGCAATTTGGCCACAATTGTCGTTCACCAATCGCCAAACTTCGGCCATCACCTTGGACATCATTGTTTACATAGCAGAGCCAAGTCACCGTTGACTTCCACGGCTCATTGAGGGCGGAGTGCCTCTCTCTCATGCACGTGCTCGTGCTGGAGACGGGACAGACGGACGCAATCCGACTGCTCAGCTCAGTCCGTGAGCATGCCGACGCTGGTACGACGACTACGGACAGTCCCAGTTTGCCGTCAGCATTCCCCCCAGCCTACTGAGTGATCCGAGTACAGGCGCTCCCCAAACCATTCTACGCGGCCGTTTGGGAACAAAAAAACTGTCGAGATGAATTTGGTGCAAAATGACTTCAAACGGCATTTTAGAAAATACATTTTAATTTTAAATGGAATTATGGATGAATCCGGAGCCCAGTGTTTCGTGAACAGAGAGGGCAGAGCCTCTCCTGAAGCCGGGGTCAATTGGTCCAATTCACGTGCAAATGGATGTTCGCCTTTCCTTCCAATCTTTCGCAGAGTTAAGTCTCCAGTTGGAAAGGTGGAGCAAAAATCACCCGAGGTTTTGTTGTTTTTCCCTTTCGTGAAGATGTGATTTTTGCTCCCATATTTACTGAACCCACAGGACCATCTCGACCGCAGTAGAATGGAGGGTTGTCCACCCCGACTGACAAACCCACAGTGGAGAGGAGTCAGTCTCTCCTTCACCGACAACATAAGCTGCCCTCGTGTGTCTGCTGCTACGTGAACCGTTTGGAACGCCTCGTTAGCAATCCCAAAGGCTTTTTGTTACGCAGGTTGTAAAGATTGAAATAGAATCCAAAGTAATCCAGTGGCACACACAGACTTGTGTGCGCGCGTACAGACACCAACTACGAGGCATTCGCCACGTGGTCGGATGTACAAGGGCTGTGATGATCGTGGGTAGTGTTGCTGCCGCGGTGTGACGAAGATTAAACGACCGTCTTGATTGTGGTGTACGTGACGAAGCTTTGGCAAGAATCTGTGTTTTTTTTCGTGTTACGGATGGACTTGCTTGTGGGGGTACCGTCACGGGTCACGTGTTTGTCACAGCCATCGCCATCGCTGCCATCCAATAAGTCTCCCAATTTCCATTCTCACTGTTGTAATTGTTGCACATAGTTCTGTGCATTCTTTTAATTGGCATTTTCATTCGTTTTTGTTCAATCGATTTTTTTCAGGTTAATGTTAAGATTGTAAAAATTTTGCGTTTTTTTTAACCTTCCACCCACCCAACAAATCCTTAATTCGATTCTCCTAAAGTAAAAAGAAAAATACTAAAATCTTTCTACCTCCAAAAATTATTCACATTCTAGAATTCTGAAAATCTGCATCTGCACAAATATCTCGCCTCATCTTAAAAAGAAAATGGTAGCTGGCGCAGAATTACCGACCCCACTTGCGTTTGACCTACATTCACCGTACAAAATATCTTGGATCGCATCGTCCGTTGCCACGTTGTCACAAGTCAGAGCTGCTCCATTGTGGAATAATCTCCCAGACTCTAGAATCTGTCTCCAGTCTGAGATTAAATAAGTATAACCCGTAAAAACAAAGTTTTTCACTATAAATCCTTTATATGCGTGGCGGCTAGAGTCCTCTCGTCCTCTGGCTTGAGATGGCTGCCACCTATGGGTCAGATGATTGTCTGCCAGTATTAAGCAATTGGTAATTAAATATTTAATTTGTTTTCCCTAAACAGTGTACATTTTTGGAAAAAAATGTTCACGAACATTAATTGTCTCGCACAACGAGTCTGTGTGCAAAATGTCAACTCGATTGGATCACGGGAAGTGGGTTAAAAAACGACCGAAAGATTTGCACGGTCGTAAGCGTGCAAGCAAGTGAACTTAATATAAAGGATTTAAAAAAAGGTAGCTGCCGCAGAATTACCGACCCACTTGCTTGACCTACATTCAACGTACAAAATATCTTGGATCGCATCGTCCGTTGCCACGTTGTCAGAGCTGCTCCATTGTGGAATAATCTCCCAGACTCTAGAATCTGACTCCAGTCTGAGATTAAATTGTTCATTAAAAGAGTTGCAACGCCACCTACAACCCACACTCCGCCTTCCCCGCTGCTCCACCGCCGTGGTGAGATGTTAACGAACTCGCGTCTCTCTCTCTCCCCGTGGTCGTGTGGATTTTTGTCCGGGTCCTCCAGTTTTTCCCTCCACATTTAGAATCAACGTCACGCATTTAAAGTATTTGGCTGCTATACATTTCCTCACGATAAGCCACTTTGTTGAATTATCGTTTGTGGCCAGGTCACTTCTGAAAAAGAGCTAGATAGCTCAATGGGCCTTACTTGGTAAAATAGTTTAATTTATTCCGCATTGCTATCCCCCGCCTCCCCTCATTACCCTTCCAACTTCCAGGAGCAACTCTTAACGGTTTGCGTGAAAACTCCGGTCATCCTCGCAGTGGCTTTTGGCTAATAATCTAACAAAGGCGGCCACTGCATCGTGCGCTCTCAGAAGCACCTCTGCGACCGTCTGGACTGCTCTTCTTTCCGATATCAGGAAGCCACCAGAGCTCACTTTTAAATCTAAATTGAAAACGCATTTCTTTAGAGCCGATTTTTGTCTTTCGTTTGTTGGCCTTCCCCTCACCTCTTGATAAGCACGGTTAGCTACGTACGATGCAAAATAACGTCTACAGTACATAGTGCGGATGTTCATTCCACCGCACCAGGTAATTGATTAAGGCTTCGTAAACCTAGGAGAAACTCAAAGCCAGACCAAGCAAGGCATAGTGAAGGATTAAGGTCAGATTTCTTGATTTCACTTTAAAGCTTTCGTGACTGCAGGGATTCATATTCTTGGTTCTTTCGGTAAAGTCACGTCGAAGGGAAATAAAAAAAATTAAATATTTTATTATTTCCCTTCTACGTGATTTTACCGAAAGAGCCAAGAATAGATTTATTTGTTATTTTTTATTTATTTAACTAATTATACGGGTAGTTAGATAATCTCACTGAGCTGCCCTTGAAAACGAGCTTTCCTCAATGGGCTTCACTTGGGAAATACATTTCTGATTCTGCTATCGCTGGAATTATCAGTGGATAATCTTCACAGGTTTGATGTTGGAGAGAAAAAAACCCATTGTACATTTGACTTGACACCGAGTGGCCTATACAAACATGGGATTAGCAGTATTGACTTTGCACAGATAAGCAATTCTTGCAGAGCTCGTCGTGGTCAGGACCAACTTGGCTCAACATCGCCCATCATGAAACAGCTGTTACTCATCTGGCGAGAGCTACCAAAGCCACTTGGTGTTATTTTCCCTGCCAAAGCCTCCCAACTTCAAACAATTGTTACTGCTGCCATGCAAAACACAAACTCTGGAACCATATGGGGTGGAGCGCCTTTCAATTAGCACGGTTAGCTACGTACGGTACGAAAGAAGTTCAACATACATCCGGTTCCCACCTTGCAGTGCTCGTTACAATCGAAGAGCGAAGCAGTCCGGGTGACCAAAGATCCACCACTCACCAATGCACTCCCGTACAACTTAAAATGTGCTCAAAGAATGCATAATGTTCATAAAATCTGCTTTATTATGAAGGGGGTTTCAAACTTTAAATTTTTATTAAATTTTTGCCAGCAACACATTTGTTGTTGGGCTCAATTGGGTGGACAGCCTTCACTGGTGCCCTCAACAATTTGTATTTCACAAAAAGACAGAATTTTAGCAAAGACTTTGACAGTAACCGCAGAAACAATGCGGCTTGGAATTTAAACAAAAGTTTGATGCGTCGCGCCGTTCTTCCTGCAACACGTGTGGCTGAGAAAAACAAAATTAAAACAAATGGGCCACTAAAAACAGTAACTAGAGTAGCAATTTAGATATAAACTTGGGAAAACCATTAACACTAATTGCAGGCTTGCGTGCTCCCACGTGAACCATAGTCCCACCCCCCCCCCCCCTCCTGAATTCGACAAGGTGGTGGCGCTTACGGTAGGTGTGATTTACAAGCTTGCTGCTCAACCACTGCCTCAACACAACAGGTGGGGTAACAAACATGAGACCCCCTCCCAAATGATACACCGGAAAGCAATCCCTCCCATTGTTGCTAACATCCACCACAAACCACAGTGATGTATGAACGCGCCTGTCCAAAACCGCAAAGCGATCTTAAGAGCGTGGTGGCTTTACCGCTGTAAATCCCCACCGCCACACCACTCTCACCACCGTGCCGGATCTAACAGGAGGGGGGCCGCCGGCTTCAAGAACAACGTTTGAACACAACTTGCCGACATTCCACCAAAACGGAGATCGAAAACCAATTTCAATTAATGTGTCAAATGGACATACTCAAGGTCCATCTCCCCCCCCCCCCCCGCTCTGGACAATGGGCATCGGACCTATGGGTTGAGCGAGAAGAATACACGAGATGCAAGTGGGTGGGGTGTAACGCGACTCCGTGTTAAACCCAAGTTGTGTGCACTCCAATTGGATGCCAGTGACACACCGTGAACAGAATCGCCATACTGCAATGTCAGACTTAGATCGGTGAAAGCCAATCCCGTGTAAAAAAAAAAAGCCTCACTGGAATCTGACCGGATGTTAAAATCAAGTCCAGTTGCAAGTTGATCGTAAGCACGGCCTTATGGGATCTGTATATTAAAGACAAACCTGAGGATTCCGACTCCGGGACAGGTGCCGCGTGAACTTTGTGTAAAAACCGCAGATGCTTTGCAAGGCCAAACTGCCACGCATTTTTTATTAACACTTTGTTTGATTGAAAGTGACAGCTCAATGGAAATGGCTTCGGTGCCAGATACACGCTGCACGCAACTCCTGCCAATGCCTAGAACCTTTCTAAATAGGAACCCACAAAAAAGTCACCACCCCTACTGGGTAAGTGTTAAAGCATCCCCCTAAGGGCCCAGTGGTCCCCCCATCCCATATGTACAGAGCTACACTACGTCCCCCATGACAGTCAAAAGGGTATCTACGCAACTGTGTGTCAGAGTTTTTGCGCACATCCGATTTTGTGTGCGTGCGCATGTCCGTGTTACTTACGTGTTTTTAAGTGGGGTAAAAACTCATTCACGGCACTTGCACCGTGATGCAAACCCATGCCGGACGCCCAGTGGAGGGGTTAGCAAGTCTTTTAGGAAAAAAAACATCGCCATGAAATGGGCGCGCAAGTTGAACGCCTGCGCGCGGAAGCCAATTGTAAACAAGCTCTTCTCCCTATGCCACGTGACGTAACGACCGAGACGCGTGGAATATAATTGGCTGCAACAAGCCAGACCCAATCTCAATACATGCTGAGCCACCACCAGCGGGTGGGACCGCAAGTTAAAATGCCGAGCCCAGTTAAATCAGATTGCATGTTAAACCTACATCTATGGAATCTGACTGCATATTGTAACAGCCTTTGCCGAACAGAATCATTTTTTAACACATTCAAATGCTCAAAATGTCACGTTAATTGTTTTGCATTTTTTGTTAAAGCCAATTTGCGTGAGCGTGTTAATATTGTACATCTGCAACAAGCACACCCACTCGCATACACAGCAAAGTAATCACCCATTTAGCCATGTAGGCTGTTGGAAGTCATGTTAGCGAGCGTTTATTAAGGTGGGCAGAGTTTAAGAGAGGGGGTGGTGTGACCAGCACCCTATCAAACAAGTTTCCTCCAAAGTTTGAATGTTCACACGCTGCAGTAGGTAGGAGCTTAAGGCTGAGTTGATCTAGGGGAGGTGCACGAAAGGATCCGCTACGACTCACCACTGATGTAATCCGTGGTCTGGAATCAAACTTCAATCACTGGGATCGTTGCACAAGAAGTAGAACTCCTGCCCCATTTCTCCCCGCACACACACTTGCATGCGCCCAGATTACAAATTATAACTTCATTTGAAACCAGATTTCATCAGCTGTATATTAATAGCACCTCTGAACGTACTTTATAAGTTAAAATTGTAATATAAAGAGTGACATCCAGTGCTTTAACACATTTACCTAATAGCTGCATGGGAATCTAGACACAACCAGATTCCACAGACCTTACCTTAACATAGAGATTGCATCGAGCCTGATGGTAACAGCTTTACTATTGATCGTGTTTCCACACACGCAGCCTTCACTCGAATCTCAGTTGCATGGCGCCACGTTGATGACACGAGATTGAATTTTTTTTTCTGGGTCATGTGCCGTTTGCTTGCACCACAGTGCTGGCCCTGCTACGACCATCTGCCCCCCATCTAACCCCCCCCCCTCCCACTTCCCCCCTTCCCACAAAGCCCTTCACTTGGCGGACGCCTGCTGTGCCTGTCTTCGCAGCAGAATGTAGATCTTCTCCTTGATCCAGTCCTTGTTGTACGGCTGGTAAGTCTGTGTGTCGGCACGGTAGCTGTCCACAGAAAGCACATGCATTCATGCTCGCGCAGATACACAAGACACAAAGATCTCCCTACAACTTTCTAGACCGTTTGGGCAAGGGCTGTTGGGAGAGTATCAACTCTGATTGTAAGGGCACACAGAGGTGGGTGGCCAGCACCATGCTCAGACACCTTTGTCTCCCCAGTACTCATAATTACACAAAACACCAGGTACTAATTCCAGGCCGAGTTAACCTATGCTCCCCACATGCAACAAGACAAAGATCCCCCATATATCCACAAGAGATTATTGTGGCAAGTGCTGTTAGTGAGCACCTAAGAACGGCCAGAACAGCACACATACACACATAATCACACTCAACCTGTCCACACACGGAGGGGTAGAGAAGCATGGTCGGGAGGGGGGGGGGTAGATATGAAAGACTCACACGAGGCAGCTCAGGTCAGCCAGGTCATCTATGAAGTCAAACAGCTGGCTGATGTCGTAGGTGATGGAGGGGCTGTTGGGGTTCATGCGCTTCAGGTGCTCCTCGTAGATCTTGCACACTCCTGCGTGGCACAACCCCACAAACCCCAACATGTTACACGCCGACACATGGATGTGGTTCACCTACGTGCCTGTTTCACGTGTCGCTGTACGACACGATAGGCAAGAGCTGCATCGGTCAGCGTGTCACGGTGGCGAGATGTCAACTACCTCGCCTGGTATACAGGAGATCGTGGGTTCGATCCCGATGCCTGTATACTTGGAGTTTGCATGTTCTCCCCGTGATCGGGTGGATTTTTCTCTGGGTCATTCGGTTTTTCCCAACCACATTTAGAAACATGTGTTTAGAGTATTTGGTTGCTATACATTTCCACGTGATAAGCAACTTCGTTGGGCTATGATTTGTGGCCAGGTAGCTTCTGAAAATGGAGCTACATAGCTCAGTCGGCCTTACCTTGTAAAATAAAATATAGTTTAGTTTTAGTTTCTTAGCTAGTGGCGCTCAATTCCACACAAGTACAAAAGTACTTATTGCACACTTGCAAATGGTGATTCAGTAGGTATTTAATAAATGTCCACCTCTGTCTACCATCACCAATCACCTCTACCTCATGCTCCTTTACTTAGCACCAAACGCTTGGCCCTAAGCATTCATTCATAGCGATTCGTAGCGTCACGATACACGAAATTAACTGTACGCATAACAACTACTTTTGATTTGTGCTAATATTATTCTACATTTGCCTTCAAGATAATGGTCAGAATGAGATGGAGCAAGGCAGTAAACTGTACAAACGAGAGCAGATACAAAGGATGCAGTACCAATAAGTGACAGTGTAATAATAAGGCAGAACAAAGGGTACCTGTTGGCAGAATTAGATAAGACGGGGGGGGGGGGGCAGTGGAAACAAGGCAAGTATTGTAAATAAGGCATGTATCACCTTGGACTGTATACAAGATGATACAATGCAGATGAAGCAGAATCAATAATATAAGAGTAAAATCACACGGTACAAAACAGATGGACAGTATTGACAAGACAGAGAGAATAGAGGTTATAAACAAGGCAGACATTACAAAGGAAAACATAAAACACACTGGGGCAATGTTTTTCTCTCCATATCTCACGATAATTATGACCCTGAATTGCATAAATTCGTCAAATCACACGCTTTTCCGCGGCCGTCTAGAACACTCTTCCTTCCGATATTATGAAGCCACTGGAGCCATGCACTTGCAAATAACCTGGATTGAAAAACTAATTTCTTCAGAACTGCTTTTTTTTTGTATGTAGTTTGTTGTCCTTCCCCCGCACCTCCGATTAGCACGGTTGGCTACGTACGGCGCGAAAGAAGTTCAACACACACACAAATCAAAAGCCCGAAACCGTTAAGGGCCTCCCGCCGGGCCCCACCCGCCGCACCTTCCATGCACTCGTTGACCGACTCATAGTCCGCGTAGGTGCGTCCCTCCGGCCGCTTGGTCGGCTGCACCAGCAGAATTGTGTGAGACTGTGGAGGGTCGGGGGTGGGAGGGGAAAGAAGGCAATTAAAAGGATGCAATACAAAACAACTATTGGCGCAGTTGAGTGGTAAACACTCGTGGTCTCACAATTAAGACCCTGGGTTCGATTCCTGACTCGGGCATTTTTCTGCGTGGCGTTTCCTCCAGGTTCTCTAGGTTTCCTCCCATAGGTAGTACAACAACAAAAATCGACACTTGCAATGTAACCGATGTCAGCCAAAGATCACAATGTCGAAAAATCTCCCTGCAAATTACAGAATTGAAATTGCACTTAGGAACATCGCACCATACTGTAAAAAAATTGCAGGATCCTCCGCAAAAAGTCTGGAGAAAGTGAGGGCTTCCCGAGTAAATAACTAAATAAGGTTAAATATTACGTGATGCAATAATAGGATCCATGGGAGTGCAGAAGTTGGAATTTTTTTTATAAATGTAAACATTATTACACGCTTTTATTTAACTCACTCTGTTGTATCCTCAACTCTCTCTGTTATCATATCCTCAAATCTTGTAACTTAATTTTAACCCACTTCCCAATGTCGTATCGACTGTATACGTATGTCATACTGATGACAATACTATATTATATCATAAAAAAATTAAGCAATCATTTTTAATATCTCGGCTTGGGTCTAATTGTCCACGCTCAACTAACGTTGGCTGTAAATCACCACAGCCCCTTACGTTATGGCAAGCTTCGGAGCCACTTCCTGGAGTCGCGGATTTCTGCCATTACTCGTACGGTACATTTAATTAAAGCGTGATTGTAAAAAAAAACTATTTTTAAATATTACTTATTAGATTTGCCTCTTGAACCCTGGGCTCCTCCTGGCTACGGTAAAACGTGCCACCATCATAGTGAACTCGCGAGAAGTGAGCTCCGGGCACGCACCGCAGGGGCCGTGATCAGCCTCGTTGCCGCACATCAACTCCGGCGCGGCTGTGATATTTACGAGAATGCGTTCAGCCCCGAGAGCCACGGTAACTTTTAATTTACTTAGACAAATGCATCTAAAATTGTCTCGAGCAGCCCATGAGACAAACTTAATGAGTATATACAAAATAGAAGCCGCTTTTTATTCAATTGTCTGGGAGGCTCAAAGGAGCTCAATAATGCTCCACACATTGACCCAACACCACCTGAGACCTAGGTTCCAATCCGGGTGTCAGTTACCTGTCCAAAAACTGGGGTTTCACGTGCGGTTGATGGTCTCAGCGCAGTCACCGAAGACTGCACAAGAAAACCATCATGTTAAATTTGGTGTGTCACTTGAATCGGCTTTCCCCAACTCCCCCCCCCGAACCACACGCGTTACATCCCGAAAACAACATCAGAAGAGCCGTACACAGCATTACTGACAACTTCCGCAGGAGTAGGATAACCGGCACATGTGTGGTGGTGCGCATTACTTCAGAAGTGTGGTAAGTGGAACAGACAACATCAAGTGCTCGGAGACTCCGAATCTGCGGAGATTCGTGGTGCGTATTACGTGGCAGTAGAGCAAGTCGTTTTCTGAATGTCATCTTCGATTTAAAGCTTTCGTGACTGCAGGGATTCATCTTCTTGGTTTTTTCGGTAAAGTCACATAGAAGGGAAGTAATAAAATTATAAAAATAAAACATAATAAAATAATTCTCACGACGTTTCGGCTACAGATGAAGACGGCTGCTTGCGTTGTAGCCGAAACGTCGTGAGAATGATTTTATTATGTTTTATTTTTTTTATTTTATTACTTCCCTTCTATGTGACTTTACCGAAAAAACCAAGAAAATGTCATCTTCCTCATACAATAGGGTCTGCAACACTCGACTTCAAAACGCCTACACTGTTATAGACGCCCTTTGGCGGTTGTTTGCTATTGATCAGCAAACAGCACCTGTTCATACATCAACCGTCTCCAATTTCCAATTGCCTTGAAGACAAACTTTCAAATACACGATGAGACAACTCACTTGGCTGCAGAAGGGCAACTGCCAAAAATATCAGCCGATATTACATAATTATTTTAGGAAAAACCGCCACTTTTTTCAAATTTCTTGCTGTGGATTTCACACCTGATGATGATGATGATTGCTTGTGTTGCAGTCGAAACGCCGTGAATGTTTTATTGTTTTATATTTTTATTATTTCCCTTGTACGTGACTTTACCAAAAGTACCAAGAATAATTTATTTCTCTGTTACACATCTAAATGATATTTATATTGTATGTTATATTTCATATATCTACATTATATATCAACGTTATATATCATTGTTATACATTTATATTATACATCTACGTTATACAACTATAATATACATCTAAATGCAGCATTCGTGGTGGTGAAACGGCACCCTCCGATCATCACGCTTTGGCTTACGTACGTTGGTGCAAAGAAAGTCCAACGCACACACTACGTGTCAGGACCTTCCAAACAAATAAAAGCACAGTCTTGAGACACGGTTAAGCACTTCCCAGCCCAAGTCAAAGTGTCTCCTATGTGGGCCGAAGCCAACACGGTGGAAACTCCTCATTCTTACGGCCATGGGATGACCGTCGCTGCGAATTTCAAGCCTGTGGGGTTGAAATACAACAATACCGAGATATCCAATTTCATTCTTGGTCTCCACAACTCTCCTCCTAATCCACGAGTCCAGGTCTACGCTGCCCCCCGTCTTTAGTAACGTAAGAAAGGCAGCGACAACGTTCGAACGGTACACGGGCGACCCGAGCAAAGTGGTTACACATTTGCCCTCGTTTACCAGTTTTTAAAAACCCCGCAAGTTTATACAAAAGTAAGGGCGCAACCCTGCAACTGCTCGCTCGAGCAGTCGGAAGAGCTTCCGCGAGACGGGGGGGGGGGCTCTCTCTAAGAGGGTAACTTGGTCTACTCTTCCAAGCTTACCCCAGACGTGTTGGCAGTGCGTGTGAAACCCGCGCGTTTAAATCGTTTGCTGCCGATCGAATGTGACTTGCTGGGTGAATCGAGGCGGGAGAGGGTATATCTCTTTACTACACGTGGCCACTACTTCACCTGCCGTTACTTCACCTGCCGTGCCGCGAGATCGAATGGAACGGGTGAGAATCTCTCGATTTCGCAAGTCCGGTGTGCCGACAACCCTTTCACCAATGTGGCAGCGACCCTCAGTTCTCGTTTAAAACGGAAACTTATTTCCCGTTCGACGCCGTGTGGCAAATCGGCCATCGGTTTTTCAGGCAAAAAAAAAATACCAACGCCTCAAATATCAATAAAATTTATTTATTTTTAAAAATCGATGTCACGAATAGTTCGCGTACTGAGTGAGCTACGAACCCAGCTGGGTTCGATACGCGACCGCCGCATCCGCCTCACCCCTCCCCCAGTCCACGACCCCCACGGGCGGCACGGCGTGGCACACGGGAAGCATCCAGCAGTGGATTGACAAACGCCTCTTCAATTACAACCCTCGTCGTGTAAGCCGCAGACGTCGAAGCGTGTTCCCTTCCCTCCCTCCTCAACACAAAAACAGCGGCCATGTTCACGCGGCCACCACCACGACCACCGCCACCACCGCCGCCGAGGCCTCGATGACAAAACCCCGCCACTTTGTACCCCCCGAACCGCCCTTGATCGGTGAGCGCCGCTTGGAGCCGAGATGCGGCGGCGACGGGGGGAGACTTTGCTGCCCTGGAGGGAGCGAGCGCGGCTCACCATGGCGAGGGAGCGAGGCCTTGTGCGGTTGCGATGAGAGAGGAATTTGTTTTTCTTCTCGTCCCAACTTCTACAAATGGAGGCGACCCGGGAAGACGAAGCGCGTGGGGACCGGAAGCACGAGGGGGGAGGGGGGGGGGCGACCCGGAAGTTATTGCTGTGGGGACCGGAAACAGGGGGTGGGGGCTGGGGTAAAAACCGGAAGTTATCGCGTGTGGGGACCGGAAGCACGAGGGGGGAGGGGGGGCGACCCAGAAGTTATTGCTTGTGGGGACCGGAAACAGGGGGTGGGGGTCAAGAGAGGGGTGGGGGAGAAACCCGGAAGTTATCGCTTGTGGGGACCGGAAACACAGGAGGGAGGGGGGGGTGACGCGGAAGTTATCGCGTGTGGGGACCGGAAACAGGGGGTGGGGGTAAGGGGTCAAGGAGGGGTGGGGGAGAAACCCGGAAGTTATCGCACGTGGGGACCGGAAACACAGGGGGGAGGGGGGGGCGACCCGGAAGTTATTGCTGTGGGGACCGGAAACAGGGGGTGGGGGTAGGGGTCAAGGAGGGGTGGGGGAGAAACCCGGAAGTTATCGCACGTGGGGACCGGAAGCACAGGGGGGAGGGTAGAAAAGGCGGTAGAGTTCAAGTTCATGTATTAGGTATAGCCCTGTGAGCCATTCAGCTCTTGAATCGGGTGCAACCGCAACAAACAAACAGAGGGGGGGGCAACCCGGAAGTTATCCGCTTGGGGACCGGAAGCACGTGGTAGACCAATATCCATGAGTTTTTTTGGGTTAAATCGCGAAAATTTTAAAAAATGTGTCGTTAAAACCCGCCACCACCCGACAGCCGACTAGTAAGGGTTGTCACGTAAACAGAACGTGGCCAATTCGTCACTAGTACAGCACTAGTGTATAGTGTAGTGTATAGTAGTGTATAGTGTAGTAGTGTATAGTAGTGTATAGTGTAGTGTAGTATACTAGTACAGCACCACCGGTGTGTAGGAGAGCCAAAGCACAACATTAACAATCTGAGCACGACGTTTCGCCAGTAATTACAACGAGCTTCATCAGGCGACAGCCAGATTTGTGCAGTCCAGTCGTTTCGCAGATGACGTAACACGTTACGGTGACGTCATCGCACCGCGTGTGCCAAGAAAGTCTAAGGTTGCGATGACGTCACGGACAAACCGCGACGTGTCCCCGGCCATCTTGGTAAAGGCGAAGCCGAAGGAGCCTGGCGGTGGATGACGTCATCCAACAGACCCGCAGAGGGGTGATGCGGGGGGAGGGGGTTGCGTTTCCTTCACCAAGATGGCCGCCGCGAGCATCACGTGAGCCACGTACGAGGGGTGAAGGGGGTGGGGGTTGGTCAGCGGTTGCCGTGATGATGATGAAGGAGGGGGTGCTGGTGGTGACTGTGGACGTGTAGCCTTGACCCGGGATCCAACCGTGATCTCGTTGCTGCTGAACAACGACGGCGACGAGGAAGAGGAGGAGGAGAAACAACAACAACAACAACAAGGGAGTGGCAAGGATTGATAAAGGCGCGAGCGGGAGGCAGCAGCAGGCATGGCGAGCAGCGAGTGAAGACGCAGCCGGGTTCGTCGGCGTCGCGGATGTGAGTCCCTGTGTGTTGGTGCGATCTCGGTCATCTCGGTCATCTCAGTCGACCCGTGGCACCTGCTGGGTCTGCCCCGTGACCTCCTGCCAGCAAGTGTTCGACACTTCACGTGGTAGCCTCAAGGTGCACATGGCCTGGCACAAGCGTCGTGGTGACGTCACCGCCACTTAGTGGCGAATGGCGCTTGTTGTTGTTGTGCGATGTTGTTGGGGGGGGGGGGGGGGGTACAGGTGGCCGTGCATCTTCAGATCATCTCTGTCGGCCAACCCATGTTGCACCTGCTGGGTCTGCCCCGTGTTTCTCTTGTAATCGAGACTTCGACCACTTCGCGCGAGCAGCCTCAAAGTGGTGCACCTAGCCTGGCACAGGCGCCGTCGCTGGAACGTAGTTGTTGCTATTGGTGGTGAGATACGCGGTGAGATCGCTACCTGCCCGACCCCCCGAATCACGCATCGGCGCTACGGAGGCGAGGGTTGGTGTATCACACACGGACGTTTTGCGAAATTCCCTTCCCGTAGGCATTGCGGGGGGTGAGGAGCCACACATTGACCCCTCGCTCGCCGGCAGAATGCAGCAACAGCCAAGGCTGGGACTGACATCAGCTGCCCCTTCTGATATGGGATAGAGCGTTGCCCCCTCGCGTGCCGAGGGGTTTTCTCCGGGTGCTCAGATGTCCTCCAACGTGAAGACATCTGAGTACTTGGACAACTTCAGAGCAATTATTGACGCGCGCTCGCCGCCTGGCAGCCTTCCAGCTTGCCTGCAGCTTGCATGAACGACGCTATATCAAACTAACCTTTAAATATATGTACTTTAGATTGTGTGTGTGTGTGTAGTACGGTGATGTTGCGGTACCATTGGCGTGGGTTGTGTTTCGTGTGGTTTACGTTGGTGCGGTTGGATTGAGTGTTTCATGGGTGTGGTTGTGTTGGTCCGTGTGGTTGTAATGGTGTGGTTGTGTTGGTGTGGTTGTGTTCGTGTGGTTCGTGTGGTTGTGGTTCGTGTGGTTGTGGTTCGTGTGGTTGTGGTTCGTGTGGTTGTGGTTCGTGTGGTTGTGGTTCGTGTGGTTGTGTTGGTCTGGTTGTGGTTCGTGTTGTTGTGTTTGTGTGGTTGTGGTTCTTGTGGTTCGTGTGGTTGTGTTGGTGTGGTTGTGTTTGTGTGGTTGTGGTTCTTGTGGTTCGTGTGGTTGTGTTCGTGTTGTTGTGTTTGTGTGGTTGTGGTTCTTGTGGTTCGTGTGGTTGTGTTCGTGCGGTTGTGGTTGGTGTGGTTGTGTTGGTGTTGTTGTGTTGGTGTGGTTGTGTTGGTGTGGTTGTGTTGGTGTTGTGTTGGTGTGGTTGTGTTGGTGCTTCTCACAGTGCGCTTTGATCAGCACGTATTTGTCCGAGAGTGCGTGGTTCCGTCAGTAGGATTTTGCCGGTTCCGATGGGTTCGGTGCGGTTCACGTTGGTTCCTGTCGGTCGGCTTCATTCGTGTCGTGGGCGCCTTGCCGGGAATGGTTCGGTGCGGTTTGGATCACTCTGCTGAGATTGTGTTCAGGGTCTCTTCTCGACGTGCTGTGAGGCTCAGAGAGGGCTGAGAATTCTTAGGTAACACTTATGTCTCTGGAACCTGACCTGACCCCTAATCCTTTAACTCCTCATCCCCAAACCCCAACCCCTGAAGTGTAACACAGACATAAACCTAACGCCTAACTGCTAAATTCTAACCCTTGCCCCTTAACTCTAAATCCTAAGACCTAACCCCTAACATTAAACCCGAACTCAAAACTCTTAATCCCTACCCCAAAACTCCAAACTATAAACCCCTGACCCTAAACCCCCTCGTTTTAAACTGTAACCGCGAAACCTAACACCAAACCCCTTGAACCTAACAATACGTTATAACCCATAACCATACAACGTAATCCTAAATTACAACCCTTAAACTCTAAACCCCAACTTTAGAGAGGCCGAGAGAGGTTCGTGCTTCATTGTGGTCGGGAAGTATGTCCTTTGGCGCTTTGGCTTGTATGCTGTGGGAGTGGTTCTGAGTAGTAGAATGGTGTGTGCCTGTGCTCCATTGAGTAATGTGACGTGTGATACAGTAGCATACTGTGTGTGTATGTGTGTGCTATAGTGGAGTGTCCTTGTTATTGTGGAGTGCGGTATGGAGTCCACTCCAGTAATGTAATGCGGTGCGTGCTGGAGTAATGTGGTCTGTGCTTGTAATAGGGAAGTTTGGTGCAGTGCTCTCTGTGCTTGAATACAATGTTGTGTCCTTGTGCAGGATGGAGTGGCCGAGTGGTTTTGTTGAGGTATGTGCTTCATCCACGCGTGGAGTATCCTTGTTGCTGTGCAGTGTAGTGTGTGTCATTAACGTGACTATTATGCTGCACATGCTTGTGCAGTGCACAGTGATGCAGTGGGTGGTGTGGCGTGTGTGAATGTAGCATGGTGTGATTATGAAGTTCCTTGTGCCTTCCAGTGTGGCATGCATGCATGTGCAGCATGATGTTGTTTGCTGTGTAATATGCTTGACTAGTGCGGCTTGTGCTGTGTGCAGTGTGGTGGGTAGAGCGGTAAGGTGTGCAGTGTGTAGACGTGGTGGTGCTGCTGCTGCTGCTGTGAGTCATCATGGATGAGCTGGCGGGCGTCTCCCTGCTGTCCCTGGCCATGCTGGTTGGGTGCTACGTGGCTGGGAGCATTCCCCTCGCTATCAGCCTGTCCGAGGTGCGTCTCACACGCATACTTTACAGGCATTAATAATACACAACAATCTCATCATCAGCAGCCATGATCAGTTCACTGCAGGATGATGGCCTCAGCAAACCGTCACCATCTGTCACAATCCTGCATTATAATCCACCGAGCACCTGCACACAAGCTTATTTAATCATCTTCTTGGTTTTTTCGGTAAAGTCACGTAGAATGGAAATAAAAAAAGAATACAAACAAAACATAATAAAATAGTTCTCACGACGTTTCGGCCACAACGCAAGCTGCCGTCCTCAGGTGAAGAACAGGTCTATTGGAAAGACAGCGTCTGCATTCAGACACTGTCTTTCCGACAAACCTGATTCATCTTCTTGGTTCTTTCTGTACCGAAAGAACCAAGAAGATGAATCCCTGCAGTCATGAAAGCTTTAAATCGAAACTTATTTAATCGCTCCATCTCTGCTGTGCACGTCCTATCGGGCGCGTTTCCTTCTTTGGCTGCTGCTCCATCATTCGTTTTTTCCAGCGAGAGGTCCTGCCCAAGCCTCCTTCTTCAATATTGTATCTTATTTGTATTTGTTCACTGATCCATGTGTTCCACTTTCTGTCTGTCAATGTAAATTCATGTAGGTGTAAAAGAGTTTATGCCGGGAAGCATAACAATCTTGGTGGCAACTAGGATAGGGAAAGTTGCGGATGTGGGAGATGTTGCGAAGATGGAGATAGGAGATCATGCCGAACTAAAACCATCAACAGCAATCCTAAATACTTGCTCCCACCAAAGGAATGTGGAATTTCCACCATTGGCTCGGTGCCACCAATGGAGAAAATGACATTATTTTCATGTTTATTTCAGCAGAAAGACATTTTCACTCGACCTTTATCCGAAAGCTACTTTTTAACAGGTGCTCACTAAGCATGGCTGAACGTGCGGTGTCTGCAATGTATATTCGCCCGCAGGAGAAACTGAAGCTGGTGACACTGTTGGGAGCAGGTCTTCTGTGCGGCACGGCGCTCGCCGTCATCATTCCCGAAGGCGTGCACGCTTTGTACGAGGATGCGCTACACGGTATCTACCAACACGATGGCCCATTAAGTGGTCCACACCGTCTGGGCAAGGACTAAAGTACCGTTGGCAGGGGCTTATTTTCTCGTGGAATGTTTCCTGGGTTGCTGGTAAACTGGAGTGGTTCTGGAGGTAGGGGCTAAGAGGAGAAACTAGGCCTCTTAATTAGGTGGCGTGACTGGTGTGGAATATATTTTCCAAGTCGCTAACCCAACTGAAATTAAGCCCCGGGTGATAGTGAACACGTCGTGGGCACACAGCATGGTGGTGTGGACAGAGCCATGCCTGCCGAGCTGCTTTTGTCTCCCCATTTGCTAATCATTGACCCAGATCGCCAAGGTTGTAGCGCAGTGCACAAACCACTACACCAATACCTGCCATTTGCCACGAAGTGACGGTGACGTCACCACAGCACCTATGCCAAGCCAGGTGCACTTTGAGGCCACGTGAACAATACTGCACCACCACTCCTGATGTACAAATACAGATACCGTCAACGCTATGTTAACGCACTGGCACGTGCGTGGCACACCTGTCGAGCGCACTTGCCTGCGCGTAGCACTCAGTTTCATTTATTTGGTATAGCCCTGTGAGCCATTCGGCTCTTGGGGTGCAACCGCAACAAACAAAAAACAAAAACATGAACAAGAAAACATCTTAAAGTGACTATGCGCAAACAGAAAAATCCAGAAAAAAAGTCTTCCAGAACAAAAGCACCGTACACCAACGCTGTGCAAAAATCCCAGTGGGATGCAAGTCAAACAACAACAACCACAAGACAACTTAGATTAAGGCCATCATTTTAACTCCGTACTACAACAAACAAACATGGCCAAACCAAAAAACTTTTCGAAATCACCAAAATAAAGCCATAAGCAATGTAACAGTGATCATAGGAACTGTGACCGAAATTTCACAATAAACGACATTAACAACATGTACCACCAAACCCTGTAGCCATAGCTGGCTGCATTAGTCACTCCACAACAGCAGGAGCCTAACACACTCACAGCTGCGTAGCACACCTGTCTTGCCACCCGCAGTTCTTTGGCTCACACCAGTGTCTTTTTATCCCCATTGTGCCCCCCGTGTCCCCCCTCTCACGCTACGAGACGCCCACTCACACGTCACGCAGGGTGCCAAGGAGCGCTCGCACGAGGCCGCGGTGGGAGCCGCGGGACCTGTGGCGGCGGCGGTGGCGGCGGCCGAGGCCCACGCGGAGGGGCACGCCGAGGGGCACGCGGATGGGCACGCGGAGCTGCACGCCTACATCGGCGTGTCCCTCGTCCTCGGCTTTGTCTTCATGCTGCTCATCGATCAGATCGGCAGCTCGCACATGCACACGCAGGACGGTACGTGTACGCGCGTACCGCATCCTCAAATAACAGCGGCGACGGGGTGCCAAAGGGTTAAGAGTCCATGAATCGACTGACAGTTGTAATTGACCTGTTGTTTTCACGGTCGATTATTTGGGCCTTTTTAAAAATGGCGACCTCACTTGTCTGGATTACTGCAACTCACTCCTGGTCGGTTTCTGTGCTTATGCCTTTACAGTAAAACCTTGGATTGCGAGCATAAACATGCTTGTAATCCAAAGCACTCGTATATGAGTTGTGATCACGTGACGCTCGGCAGACAAAGCGTATACACGTACGACTCGTATTGCAAGACCTCGCTCGTTTATCAAATTAATATTTATTTAAAAATTTTGCTCGTCTTGCAAAACACTCGCAGACCAAGTTACTCGCAATCCAAGGTTTTACTGCACTTCCCTCTCCAACACATCCAACACGCAGCTGCACGCGCTGTACTCAACCTTCCACACACATTTGTCGATTTGAAGCTTTTGTGACTGCAGGGATTCATCTTCTTGGTTCTTTCGGTAAAGTCACGTAGAATGGAAATAATAAAATAATAAAAATAAAACATAATAAAATAATTCTCACGACGTTTCGGCCACAACGCAAGCAGCCGTCCTCAGGTGAAGACCAGGTCTGTCGGGTCTTCACCTGAGGACGGCTGCTTGCGTTGTGGCCGAAACGTCGTGAGAATTATTTTATAATGTTTTATTTTATTATTTTATTATTTCCATTCTACGTGACTTTACCGAAAGAACCAAGAAGATGACTTCCACACACACCTCGCTGCTCTCCTCTCCTTCAACAACTTCACTGGCTTCCCGTCGATCACCGCTGTCTTTTTAAATTCCTCACCCTAGAGTATTCAAAGCTTTGCACGGTCTTGCCCCGCCCTACCTATCATCTCTCATGTCTTTATGTCCCTTCACGCCCCCTTCGATCGCAATATTCCCGTTTTCTCACTGTTCCATCAGCTCCTTGCGACCAGTCTCACTTTCGTTCTTTCTCTCTTCTTGCCCCGTTGTGCTGGAACAACATCAGTCTCTCACCTCTCGCTTTCCATCTATCGCTCGACCCTCAGTCCCTTTCTCTTCTCTATTGATGTTTCTCTTCCACCGCCTCCACCGCTATCGGTTCCTCCACCCACCTCTAACCGACTCCCAGCCCGCCAGTCATTTTCTTCCGACGACCCTAATTCCTGACCCGGTCCCGAGGTCTCGCTTCCCATGTGCACCGAACTACATCTCTCCCCCAGCCCGACACTGTGCTCCTCCATCAGCTCAACTATCCGGGGGCCACTTCTGCCCCTACCACCCTTCACCTACCCTCCTCATTCATGCCCATTTCACCACTTCACGCACATGACCCATAACCCACCGCCTCTAATCCACGTTTCACCCATCAGACACGCTCAGGCACCATCACATTCCACCTTATTCTGCGTGTGTACGCCCCGCGTGTTTGTGCGTGTATGCATGGTTGTGTGTGGTCTGTCTGAGGGGGAGCGGTCGTGCAGCGGTTAGCGCGTTGTGCTACGAACCAGGCCACCCGAGTTCGATTCCTGCTCACAGCCAACACCAGTGATGATTATCTGAACCGGTCATGGGCCTCCCCTAGGTCGACTTAGCCTCAAATGAGTTTCTGGTGCGGTGTGTAAACATCACCGCTGAGAAGACAAAGGCGGCCGGGCGTGGTCTTCTCCACCCACCCCCTCACTTGCCGTGCCAGCCGTCATAGGTGCTCGCTTATAGCATTTGCCCCAACAGTCAGTCTGTTCAGGCTATACAGGGGATCTTTGTGTGTGTGGTCTGTGTACACAACGTGTATGTGCTGTGTGTGTGTGCGTGCAGACACAGAAGCGGGCCGAGCTGCAAACTCTAAGATGACGACGACACTGGGCTTGGTGGTTCATGCTGCAGGTAGGAAGATCAGAGCCTCTGTCTCTACATCTCTCTCTTGGTCCATGTGTCCACCTGCCTGTCCTTTCTGTCTGTGACTGTCCATTGTTTGTGTCTGTTTATCTGTGCGTCCTGTCCTGCCCAGCCACCGCATGCCCAAACAGCCTTTGTTTGGCCAGATAGAGGGTTATAAACGGGCATGGTACAGGCTAGAGAAGAGATGGAGTGATGTGTTATGAGAGGATATGGAGCTGAGTGGACTTGCTAATAACTTGTACTAGCGGTGTCAAGATCGACCTCTGTGGAGGAGACTCGTGAAGGACGCTACTAGGCAGTTGGAGGCAGACGCTCTCCAGCAACAATGGAGGGCAGAGCAGCGGCGCTCGCAACAACGAGTGGAGCGTCGGCCGGTTAAAACACAGCATGTTGTCACAGTAGGGGGCACAGATGATGCATCGGCCAGTTATCTCGGTCAGTCAACTCAGGGCACCTGGAGTCTGTCCCGTGACCTCCTGCCAGCGGGAGTTCAACACTTCACATGGCCTTCAAGTGCAAATAACCAGCTACAAGCGCCGTGGTGACATCACTGCCACTTCGTGGCAAATGGGGGTTGTTGTTGTCCTGTCTCTATACCTGTTCATATGTTATCTCCTCTGTCTTTCCATCCTGTCTGCCTATATCTGTCTGCCCTTTCTTTCCTTCTGTATTTCCATTTATCCTTCACTTTGTTTGCGTGTCTACCTGTTCAGATGTTCTTTCCTCTGTTCGTCCTTCTGTCTCCCTGCCTTTCAGTCTGTCATTGGCTTTGTCAATGTCTGCGGCTATGCATGTGCTCACATTAAAAACAAAGCCATTGTTGAACACAGGTCACCTTCATTAAAGAGTCTCGCTGTCCCAAACTCTCAGTGGACTCCGACCTGGCTTAGAGGAACTGCTTCATGTCGACGAACACGCCCAATAGCCTGCATGGATACACACTCTCAGTGATGTAGTGTTGACAACTCCCACAACCCGTGCAGTTGGGGGAGGCCCTCATCCGATAACACCTTCATATATATAGAGGACCGCAGACCTTGGGCAGTTGCTGGCACCGGCTCATCGCGTAGCTTCCTTCCTGCTTGTCCGTGGTTCCTCCTCATCCCACCGAGTCGTTCTCTCTCTCTCTCTCCATACGAGAGCGAGCGAGCGAAGACTGTGCGGCCGGAGCTGTTGTATATGTTGGGTATGAAAATTTGTTATGTTGTATGCGTGCGTGGGTGAAATTATTATGTTGTATATGTGGGTTATGAATATTCAGTGGAAATAATAATAATTAAATGAAATTTGGCCAAATGTGTAATTATCCGGAAATATGTTAATTTATGTAATTACGCACATTTTAATTATGCCAATTCGAGAGGTAATCGTATTAATTATGCGAGTGGGTGTAATTATGATAACGCAAGTCGTTATGATAACCAGACCCCGGTTCACCCCGTTATCGCTTTAACATTTACTGAGTATGTATTAGTGTGTTTATTAAGGTCACCAAGTTCAAATCTCAACGCAGAAGCAGATCTTATGCATAGATTTCAGGAAAGAATCACACAACCACTTCTGTATTGATCAATTTATTACTAATTCAACCTTAACTATGATATAATATGCGAACTCTCAATCCCGGAACGTCAACACGGCATCAATACAGTATCATCAACGATTGTCTGATTTCACTTTGACAACTGCACATGGATCCCGCATAACGCGATGGTTGTTAGTGAGAGAGAGAGTCGTTAAAACACGCAAATACTATGCTAAGAAAACCTTAATGTTAATGAATGATTATACTCAATATTGTTCATAACGCGATGGTTGTTAGTGAGAGAGAGAGTCGTTGAAATATGCAAATACTATGCTAAGAAAACCTTAACGTTAATGAATGATTATACTCAATATTGTTCATAACGCGATGGTTGTTAGTGAGAGAGAGAGTCGTTGAAATATGCAAATACTATGCTAAGAAAACCTTAACGCTAATGAATGATTATACTCAATATTGTTCACGCAGTACCACACTCCTTATTGACCATACGCAACCCTTATCACGTTGTTAACACCTTGGGTCACGGGACAGTTGAATATTCTGTAGAGGATGCGAGTACGTGCGCGATTATGACTGAAAGATACTTGAAAGATTATACGGCGATAAAAAAAACACAATCAAAAACAGTTATTATTCTTAAAGGCATCAATCTCAACAGATACATCGGCAGGTTATCTGACAACAGAACGGCTCGGAGTAAGGGCCTGCGACGGTGCTCCTTTTCCGAAGCTCGTTATCTTATACCAAGTTTACTAATTGGGGACCAGATCACCTGATAAGGATCCGGTGGGCCACCACTCCCCACGTGAGCGTGGCTCGGCGGAAGGAGGTGCCAAGAATCAGTTCGTATTGATGGATCTGTTGGGAATTTATGCGATTAAGAGTACAGCCCACTAAATATTAAAGATAAAAATTAAGAATACTCTTATAAACGACGGAGGGCCATCACTCGGTCTCGTTGTGATGCTTTCCAGCCACGGATGGCTTATGGGTTCGAGTGTTTTTGAGTGGTAAGAGTTGTCTTGAATAGTCAGTGTTCGGAGTCGATTCTTTAGGTCAAACAGACGCCTGGTGGTCGTGTGGTGAGGGGGCGGTGCGCGTCATACGTATCAGTTGATCCCCTGTCACCGTGGCGAACTGGTTCGGATGCCCGTTGATACGCTGTCGCAGTTCGGAACCCGGTCGGTAGGTGGCGCCCACAACTCGCTCGTAGCGTGCAGCTCTGGGTTGTCGCCGATCCGCGATGCTCACCACTCCGGTGGCAGCAGAGACCCCCGATTCGGCAGAGGTTGACGAGCTGAAGATGAGTCGAGCCGACCCGCTGGTCGCAGCTCGCTCCTGAGTCGACCCTCTGGTCGCACTCCTGAGTGGACCCGCTGGTCGCACTCCTGAGTGGACCCACTCTGGTCGCACTCGTTCCTGAGTCGACCCTCCCGTCGCACTCCTGAGTCGACCCTCTGGTCGCACTCGCTCCTGAGTCGACCCTCTGGTCGCACTCCTGAGTGGACCCGCTGGTCGCACTCCTGAGTGGACCCACTCTGGTCGCACTCGTTCCTGAGTCGACCCTCCCGTCGCACTCCTGAGTCGACCCTCCCGTCGCACTCGTTCCTGAGTCGACCCTCCCGGTCGAGCTTCTGAGTGGACCCTCCCGTCGCACTGGTTTCCAATGCTCAGGATCCTTTACTTTATGCCGAAAAATCCCCCTGGATCCCGCCCACAAGGCGGGACTTCTTTCGAATTTTTTTTGTGTCAGGATCTGTCCGTAGGCAGGTGTGTCCATGTGTGTGTCCGTACGTCCGTGTGTCCTTGTGTGCATCACTGACGGTATATTCGTTGTCACACTCCCTCCATAAAACCCACGAGCAAACAATCAGATGTTACAAATTGCCTCGAGGTCGTCTCTCTGTCTGGGCGCAACATTATCTCCTGTCTGGCCTTCCCCATGAACCCAAAACACAGACGTCACAAATGTCTCATAGGCGTCTTTGTTCGCACCACCTGGAGGGAGGGGCAACGCTCTCTCCGACCCGGCGCACAAAGAAATGGCCAAAAGTTTTAAGTTAACATTTGTCCCTTACTATTTCACAGCCATGATTCCGCATGTAACCCAAGGTCTGTCGTTTCCCATCGTGGTGCCCGACCCAAGTGGAGGCGTCTTCCCGAGCGTACACACACTCCCCTCCCGCGCTGCGGGGATACAAAGACGGCCGGGATCTCCCTTTCTCTCCGACCCTGGGTTTAACATCGTTTTTTTTACTATGTATTTATATTCGACCTGGTGGTGATTCATCCCGTTATCCTGGCTTTTCCATAAGTTTTACTTTTGTCTTTTCATGCATATGCTTCGGGTCGAGTTGTACAGAAAGCATTAAAGTATGGAAATAACATTTCATATTGACTTAATGATGGTGATGGTTCAGTAGGCGTACTTGTGACCTGGTTTAATTGGAGTGGGTGTGAATATCAAACTTTAGCCTACCCTGTTGTTAAATTCCGACTTTAACGTTACTTTAATAGCAATACAGAATAATTGAGCTTTTTGTCTTAACTAGGCGAACGCGAACTTCTGGTGACCCCCGCAGCCGTGTTATTTAGCTGGGTCTGCCCGCCTTGAGAGATATACAACACTTTTTTTAAATCAGCTCTCCCCTGTCCCTCCAACCTTCTGCTCTGGGAATGTTATTCTTAATTTCAGGTCCAAGGCCTCTTTGGGTTTATCTTTGTTTCCTCAGCTGCAGGAGAACAAGGCGTGCTTCTACCTCCCTTTCTGTGTGCACGTGTTCTAATTAGCTCGGAATCCCTAACACACAATCAGTGATGATTCCTGGCTTTCTGTGGTTATGACTTAGACAAAGGCCCTCTGCTTTCTTTCACTGCCTTTGCCTTGAAGCAAGGTTGCAATTCTGTCATCCTAGCCCTCCTCTCGTTCATTACTTAACAACACCTGATGTTTTGCAGTTTGGTGCGCTTTGGTGTGTTTCACTCATTAAAAAAACAAGTAAAAAGATAATATATAAAAATCATCAAATATTATTAATCTCAATTATGGAAGAAGGGTTAGGATACAACATACCGCCCTTTTAAAAATGACCAGTGGTTAAATGGCCACGGGTTATTTTTAAAAAAAATGTATACCCTTCTTCCATCATGAACCATCGATTGTCCTCAAGTTTTGCTGCTATTCCTTACAACGCGCGCGTACGTGTCACAACTTAACATGGTTATATTTGAATTGAGCAAAGAAAATTAAACAAGCGTTAAACATCGATATTGCGTTACATCGGTTCTGATACATCATGACTCCGACGAATATTCATTTTTGTTTTTGTTAAATCCTGGGAAACGCTAGGTAGCGGTTTCGAACGCATTTATGCGTTACCTTCCTCATGTTGCCTCGTTCACCACTTATCACTTCGATAATTCGATCACGGTTTTCGGG